CTCATGGGATGGCCTGCTAAACAAATGCTTTGATACTTCATATAATTATAGAATTATGAATAACAATTTAAATGATTCAGAATGTTATATTTTACAGTCCAACAGTGTTTTTGTTCTCATTTAACATTTACTTTATGTGTTGATACTAAAAGTTGCCAAAGAGCTTCACTTCAATAATGAATACCTCAGAGGAAATAATGTAGCTGTTGTTTTTAAATAGTTACATAGAGTACTTGTAGTAATTATGGTAGAAGTGGTCAACAGGTCATTAGCTCCACTCTCCTTTGAGAGTAATTAATGAAACAACACCACTCTGGAGAGCCAGCCCTGGCACTAATTCACACAAACAGGCTCTCTAACCAGTATACCCTCAGTCCTACTTACCCACTGAAACCAAATTAATATTAATACAGTTCAGTATATTCAGCAGACCAGATTAACGACTAGCAAATGCATTTCCTGTAGAAAATGCAGTGTGAATGCTGACAGATAAAATAATTTCTAAAGCATTGCTGAAATTGCATAAATTAATTGCCTGAAAAAGTACAAACACTCTGCACTACAGAACAATTGGTAGTCAAATCACTGTCCCTGTAGTTCTAACAGGGTGTGTGGACATGCACTGTAACCACTGCACTACTGAACATAATGGTAGCCGTCATAGGGCTGCATGAGGTTCAAATGTCAGTTGAGGTTTAATGTATGAATAAAATTCATAATGTATGAAAGATGTGGAACATTTTAACATGCGCTTATGCAGATATCAAATAAGCTCAGAGACTTTCACACAATTATTTTAAAGCTTTCCGTGCATCAATTTGGGTTCTTGAACTCCACCAACCACTTGATAAATGATCACCCTAGGAGTGCTCCCAATCCCGGCCAGACCAGTTGCCACTGTGCCCATCAGGATGTTTGCTCCAAGCTTGCCTCAGCCCACTTCAACTGCCTTTCGTGCACACCACTTCCTTCCTGTTCTGATGTTTATACCCACAGAGGAGACCTTGGTTCTCAGCAGAATCCCGGTAGAGTAGGACTCTCAATTGGGTGACCTTGAACTCCTCTGCCAGACTATTGAAAGGAAGCTGAAACTTGGTGTTGTGCCCGTGAAGGGCAATCAATGCTGCTTAGGCTCTGTGGCAGGCCCAGCCACCTGCACAAGAACTGGTTGATCTTTCTTTGAAAGCACTCCATGATGGTGAGTGGGACTTCATAGATTAGTAGTGGCCACAGGAGTTGATGCAGGATTCCATAATGATATATCCAGGCTTTGAATTTAGCAAGAAGACCTGACTTGTCCACTGTGGAGAGCCAGGTGGTGAGGTCATCACTGGTTGCTTGGCATGCCCCTGTTTTCTTCAGGTTGCTGGTGGGGTTGACGGGATGCATTATATTGTACTGGTAATCATGTGCACTTCACCACAGACTTTAAAAAATATTAGGTTAAGGAATTCTTCATAAACTGGCTCTCTACGCTGATGATGTTATTCTCTTCTTGACTAAGCCTGAAACCTTGATTCCTACCCTTATCTCAATTATACAGTAGATGCCTTTGGTGGTTTCTCAGGCATCAAATTAATTATAACAAATCTGAAGCTTTGCCACTGGGAAATTTTGGAGATCAAAGTGCTGTGTACAATTTTCCCTTTAAATGGTCACAAACTGGCGTTTAGGTGTGAAAATCTCTGCAAAGGTAAATATACATTATATTTATAAGCTTATTTTTTTTCCCCCAATTATAGCTTCAGTTAAAAGAGATCTACTTAGGGGGCTTGACCTCCCTCTTTCTTGGATGGGTAGTCAGTCTAATAAAGATAAACAACCTCACAAGGATCTTATACCCAATGCAATGGTTCCCTCTAAGAATTTAGAAGTTTGGCACAGGGACAAAACAAACGTAAGACAATACAACTGCCAAAAGAGAGGGGGGGCCTTGCAATGCCAAATTTCTTGTTTTATACCTGGACACGGCCATGCATGTGTAGTTTCAGGCTGGCTGAGGCACTCTTTTGATTCTAGGCAAGAGATCCATGTTGATGCCTGCTGACACTCTTCTATGTCTTTACTCAGCCTGGTAATCAGTGACAGTACCTTGCTGCCAACCAAGGTCAAAAGCAGTCCAATCATGATACAATCAAAATCTGGAAAAATATTGTTAAGTTCACTGGAAGGAGGTCAATCAGTACTGCACCCCATTACACAAAACAAAGCCTTCCCCCCTGGAATAGGGAAGAACATATTTCATTACTGGTGTAACTAAAGTATTAGGATTAGGATGGATCGACTGGTTTCTTCCCCAGATTCCTCATGGACCTTCAGTACTAAACCGGGACCTCCTCACCACCAGCCACGGCCATACTTAAGATTGAGTCTAAATATAAAGAAATGAAAAACATATTGGCTTGGCTCGAGTTATATAAATACCGTGTGAATTTGCCTGCAATATAGATTGTTCAGCTTTGGCATTACACAAGTTTTGCTTTGCCAGGTGGTTTCTGTAGCATCTGTAGCTGCATCAGTGTCCCCCTCTCCCTCTGGCACAGGTCCAGATAATACGGTTTTCCTGATCATCCTAAAATGATTATGTTCTAACTCCTCCAATACCCTTCACTTTGTGGTGTGTCTATGGATCTATATAGTAGCAGATATTGCTACGGTAGAAACATGGTGGCTCAACACGGCCGGCCTCCAGAGAAAGTTGGAAATGTGGCCCTTATCAAAGTTGCTCAAATCCTCATGCTGCCCATTTATCCCACTTCTAACACATCAACTTTGAGGACAAAATGTTCACTTGCTGCCTGATATATCCCACCCACTGACAGGAGCCACGATAACAAGATAATCAGTGGTATTCACTTCACCTTCTGACTCAAAACGGCTGATTCACAAACACAACGATTCCTATATTCAGGTGATTATACACTAATGAAAGCATACCTATAAATATTATGTTCCATTTCTGCCAATAGAGCCTCCTAAATGTTACACACTGGACCTTTAACCGCAATCACAATCTTTCCCTAACTTTAACCAAAGTGCTTTTGTTGCCTAAACCTAACCAGAGACCGGAGTCTGGACGCAGATCCACCTCTTGTGGATCACATTGAGGGTAAATAACACAAAGCAAGTATTCTTCATTATAGTAACTTCATTATAGTAAAGGAGAGCTCTGTAAGACATTTAACTTATCCACATTATATTTATTTTCTGATTCTGACCTTTACTTTCCATTTTTTTACCAGTAAGTACTAAAGTGCCAACAAGTCTCCCAGATCACGGCTGTAGACTGTCATTCTCAGCCACATAAGGACCATTAATTATGGCAATTCATCAAATTACTTTTGTGATATTTTATGTAGCATTTAGTAGATTGTATTAAAAATCTACTAAATGCTACATCTTTGGGCTTCAATAAACATTACATAGTGATTACATAGTGTTAGAGCTGCAGCATGTCTGCCTCCTCTTTTGGCTTGTTTCAGTCAGAAAAAAATAGCTTTATAATTGCAATATGGGTACTACATTTATAATTAAGCAGCAATATGTTGTAGCAAGTCAGAATGTAACTGTGGGCCTGGGACAGACTCCTAGCTGGCATAACTACTTGACTTTTAGATCAAAGAAGCTAATAATAATAATAATACTAATAATAACTGTATTTATATGGCACCTTCCAAAACCAAGTTACAAAGTACTTTACAGTAAACACAACAAATAAAAGTAGATAAAATCTAAAAAAGCTATAATATAGTTGTGGGTTTTAAGAAGAGATTTGAAAGTGGATACTGAGTTTGCCTTTCCGAGATCCTCAGGCATGGAGTACAGCTGAGGGGCCCAGACAGCGAAGGCCCGGTAACCATTAGTGACAAGTTGACCATTCATGGCTTTAAAAACAAGCAGTAAAATCTTAAAATCAGGTCTAACAGTTGGTCCACATAGGATGCATGAGTTTGACTAATAAAGTGACAAACACAATCAAATAAAAACCTTGTTAACAAATGATACTGTACACAGAAATGCAAGAGAGCTTTTAATCTGAAACAGATACAGGAGATGTTGAGCTTAAAAAATATTTTTAAATTAATATATTATATTATGTCTTTGACATATTCTACAGATATAGACTGAAACTGTAGTGAAAGCTGTATATGTTGTTGGTATAATGTCGCTATGACTATTACACAAGTTTTGCTTTGCCAGGTGGCTTCTGTAGCATCTGTAGCTGCATCAGTGTCCCCCTCTCCCTCTGGCACAGGTCCAGATAAAACGGTTTTCCTGATCATCCTAAAATGATTATGTTCTAACTCCTCCAATACCCTTCACTTTGTGGTGTGTCTATGGATCTATATAGTAGCAGATATTGCTACGGTAGAAACATGGTGGCTCAACACGGCCGGCCTCCACAGAAGGTGGAAATGTGGCCCTTATCAAAGTTGCTCAAATCCTCATGCTGCCCATTTATCCCGCTTCTAACACATCAACTTTGAGGACAAAATGTTCACTTGCTGCCTGATATATCCCACCCACTGACAGGAGCCACGATAACAAGATAATCAGTGGTATTCACTTCACCTTCTGACTCAAAACGGCTGATTCACAAACACAACGATTCCTATATTCAGGTGATTATACACTAATGAAAGCATACCTATAAATATTATGTTCCATTTCTGCCAATAGAGCCTCCTAAATGTTACACACTGGACCTTTAACCGCAATCACAATCTTTCCCTAACTTTAACCAAAGTGCTTTTGTTGCCTAAACCTAACCAGAGACCGGAGTCTGGACGCAGATCCACCTCTTGTGGATCCAGCGTGTTACATAAATGTAGTGTTTCATTCACTCAAAGAAACTTTGACTTTGAACATAAAAAAACAACGTAATTAAGAAAACAATTCTGTATTTTAGGAGACGGGGTTGTCTGGGGACCGTGGATGTTTTTACAAATCTATGGCGACATGTCCAGAGTCAGAGAACATAAAAGACTCCTCCTATTACCTCCACCTGTGGTGTGTCTATAGATCTAACCAAGAGCAAAATGTAGAACACACCTTGAATATTATTCACCACTAGTTCTGTGAGTATAACTTATAGTACTGTATTATGTGACATTATGTTTCAGCTGCTTTCATTTTCCTTCACATAGATGCTGCAAACTTCAAATCAGATCACCGATTTCTCAGGAGAAGAATAAGAGTTTTACTGAATTCTTAGTCTCTGATTTGTTGTGTGGAATGGAAAACAGCACTGTTTCCTTTTACTTTAACCTCACCATGTTTGTGAACATTGGACACTACCGCTATCCAGTCTTTGTTTTTTGCCTCCTGCTGTACAGTTTTATTCTCTCTGCTAATCTTGTCATAATAGTGGTGATATCTCGAGAAAGAACACTACGCGAACCCATGTATGCGTTTATTGCCTTGTTATCTGTCAACTCTCTGTATGGATCGACTGGTTTCTTCCCCAGATTCCTCGTGGACCTTCTCTCTGATACTCATTTAATAGCACGTCCTACTTGTTTCACTCAGATCTATGTTATTTACACATATGCTTCCTATGAAGTGACCATTCTGAGCATTATGGCATATGATCGATATGTTGCTGTTTGTGATCCTTTACACTATCACAGTAAGATCAATTCCAAAACTGTCCATAAATTGGTATTTTTTGCTTGGGTCTGTCCAACGTGTAACCTTACAATAGCTGTTAATATGATTGTCAGGCTTCCACTATGTGGTAACAATATACAGAGGGTATACTGTGCCAGCTGGAATATTGTAAAATTATCATGTGTTAACAATGCTGTTAACAGTATTGCTGCTACATTGGTGGCCATAATTGCAGCCTTCCTTCCGTTTGGTTTTATTTCGTACACCTATCTGAAAATTGTTGTTGCTTGTTGGAGAAAGTCATCAGAGGTCAGGGTGAAAGTATTTCACAGTTGCCTTCCACATGTAATGTCATGTGTGATTTATTCCATCACATCATTTAGTGACACTGCCCTGAACCGACTAAATCTTGATGAGATAAATCCATTTGTGGCTATAATTCTGTCACTAGAGTTTGTTGTTATTCCTCCGTTTCTGAATCCTCTTATGTATGGCCTTAAATTACCAGAAATTAGAAGACACATTGTGAAGATTTTACCATTGAAAATATCTCTTAAAATGTAGTGTGACTATAATATTGTGGCAATAGACTTCATGGCACAGTCTGTGAAGTGAAATGTGTGGTGAGCGTGCAACCATTTCTTATAAGATGAATTTATAAATATGCACACTTTGTTTTCAGTTGAGATTCATGTGAATTGTAATTTATTAGGTTGCTAATGTTAAGTATCTATTTTTAATTAAATGTTACACCCCACACACCGACCCTTTAATTCTTTACCTTAGGACTTGATGTCTACACATTGAGGGTAAATAACACAAAGCCAGTATTCTTCATTATAGTAACTTCATTATAGTAAAGGAGAGCTCTGTAAGACATTTAACTTATCCACATTATATTTATTTTCTGATTCTGACCTTTACTTTCTATTTTTTTTACCAGTAAGTACTAAAGTGCCAACAAGTCTCCCAGATCACGGCTGTAGACTGTCATTCTCAGCCACATAAGGACCATTAATTATGGCAATTCATCAAATTACTTTTGTGATATTTTATGTAGCATTTAGTAGATTGTGTTAATAAAAATCTACTAAATGCTACATCTTTTGGGCTTCAATAAACATTACATAGTGATTACATAGTGTTAGAGCTGCACGGGGTCTGCCTCCTCTTTTGGCTTGTTTCAGTCAGAAAAAAATAGCTTTATAATTGCAATATGGGTACTACATTTATAATTAAGCAGCAATATGTTATAGGAAGTCAGAATGTAACTGTGGGCCTGGGACAGACTCCTAGCTGGCATAACTACTTGACTTTTAGATCAAAGAAGCTAATAATAATAATAATACTAATAATAACTGTATTTATATGGCACCTTCCAAAACAAAGTTACAAAGTACTTTACAGTAAACACAACAAATAAAAGTAGATAAAATCTAAAAAAGCCATAATATAGTTGTGAGTTTTAAGAGGAGATTTGAAAGTGGATACTGAGTTTGCCTTTCTGAGATCCTCAGGCATGGAGCACAGCTGAGGGGCCCAGACAGCGAAGGCCCGGTAACCATTAGTGACCAGTTGACCATTCATGGCTTTAAAAACAAGCAGTAAAATCTTAAAATCAGGTCTAACAGTTGGTCCACATAGGATGCATGAGTTTGACTAATAAAGTGATAAACACAATCAAATAAAAACCTTGTTAACAAATGATACTGTACACAGAAATGCAAGAGAGCTTTTAATCTGAAACAGATACAGGAGATGTTGAGCTTAAAAAATATTTTTAAATTAATATATTATATTATGTCTTTGACATATTCTACAGATATAGACTGAAACTGTAGTGAAAGCTGTATATGTTGTTGGTATAATGTCGCTATGACTATAAACAGACCCTTTTCACTGTCTATTTTTGCTGGGAACTGCCTGCAGCTCACGGAAAAAATATGCAAAACCTTGACTCTTTAGTGAAGCTGAGACTCGCAATAGTCAAGACTGAGGAAATAAAAGCATGAATGACCTTTTCTAGAATAGCAGGAGAAAGGAATTATCTGGGGCCTGACTTGTAAAGATTGCTACGTGCAAAAAAGTTGCCAAAACAGCAGTGAAATGTACGTACATTACTTACACATACTTCCTTGCAAAGGCCGGGATTTATAGAGACATTATATGCAGAAAAAGTTGTGCATTTCTACACATCCTTTCACCCACATAGAGTTCTCACAAAGTTGTTCAGACACACGGAAATCAGCGATGCAATCAAATCGTGAGATGACGAAATAAAGTTCAGTCCTCAGATGAAAAACCACACATGAAATATAAACCACACACACATTTCAGTATATGCGTACCTCTATGTGTGGATATATATATATATATATATATATCATTATTATTATCACATTGATTTGAATTTAGTCAATGCAATGAATTAAATCTAAACATTCTTCTTTTTTATGAATAACTAGTCTATGGCCCAGAAAGTACAGAACTTAACAAATACTCAAGTAAGAATTTTATTAACAATTCACTTTTGTGCTTTCGACACATAGTAGCACATCAGTGTACACTGCAACCACAGTCTCATTTCAAGCCAGAAGTTTGCTCTTGAGGGACTGGACTTTGTTTGACAGCTTTGAATTATCCAGTTCCAAAAAAAGTTTTTGGAATACCTCAAAAGGTGTACTTCAGCTGTCTGGGATAATCGAGATTCAGCGCGTAGGTCAAGCCAAGGAGGACAGAGCACGCCCTTGCAATATCTCCAAGTCCTGTGATGACTTCCACGCCCTCTATGATGATTCCAATGTTCTTTGGGCTGTTGCTTGTAGAAGCTCCAGACTTTGGGGTCACAGTAATGGCCATTATGAGCTGTCCAAGTTCCTCCAAGTTCTCAGTGACAAATGTGTGCGAGGGGCCCTTAATGTTTTAAAGGAGCATGGACAATCATAATCGAGACAAGGTACCGAATTTCCAATCTCAAAAGTCCTGTGCTGTAGTCTGTAATGCTGCAGAAGATCACCACTTGTTGTCGCTCTGAATCCACAGACTTTACACTGCCATCTCATTTGGCGGCATCTTGGAACACAAAGTTTTAGATATGAGAAGTGCCTTTCAGTTTCACATTTCTACAGATGAAAATCATCCCCTTGTGAAAAATTATATAAATTCATGCAAAATATTTACATATTTATAGATCCTGGATTTTTTAATGAGGGAAAAGGAGCTGATGTCATTTCAAGGATCATCATTTAACTTATTTTGTGGAAAAACCATATCATGTACGCTGAAGGCGCCGAAAGCACAGAAGTACAGCCACTAAGCCTAAAGTCAGGCAGAACTCCCCAATAAAAATACACAAATTGAAACAAGCCTTCAGGACGAGCAACATGATGATATTTTAAAGAATAAAGTAACAGTGGAGGCCACTGTTTGATTCGGCAACTATTTTGTGGGTAAATGTGGACTTCGGTAAAAATGTAACTTAAATGACTAGTTAACAAGCCATTCATCACCAGTCATCTTTATGTTAAATTGCCATTTTTTCCAATGGAGTTCGGCGGCCGGCTCACGAAACTCCAACTATCAAACTAAACACTGCTAATCAGATATGAAACAGTATTCTGTTACTAAAATGTCTTCAGAAACTTTTAGTGTACGGTTTAGCTGTAAAATGAGAAAGTTTGTGCCATGTTAAGCTTCCTCCCCTCCTGCTAACGTTACGTTAAGTGCTAACCGCTGTGGACGGACATTACCACACTAAAATTAACAGATTTAAGTATGAAAAGAAAGAAAATTGCGGCTCTAAAACGTAACACTGTCACATTTGCAAGTTGCAACAAAACTGCGAAACAACAGAGAAGTTACGTTACCTGCCCGGGAAGCGATTTTACGAATCCTACTATGGCCACGCCAAGTCCCGCCCTATGCCTACCTCTGATTGGCTTACTTCCCTCCCCCTTTCCTTTACTCCCCCTCTGCTCTGATCCTAGTGTCTGCTTTTTCCCCTGTCTTTCTTTGTTGACCTTTGTTGTTGTAACCCTCCCCCACTCCTTGCCCTAACCCTAACCTCTTCTCCCCTTGCCTAAACCTAAAAACCCTAACCCCTCAGCCAGCCCTGGACCTTTGACCCCTCACCTCGTTGAGCTCAGCCAATCAGAGGTAGGCATAGGGCGGGACTTGGCGTGGCCATAGTAGGATTCGTAAATTAGCGCCCGGAAAGATGAGCAGTGCGGCAAGTGCCGTCCGATGCTCTTCCAGCGATAACCCCCAATATTTCTCTTTATGGAAATGTGTCTAACCTTAACATTAAACCCAATGTACTTCTTTATGCAATTTCATAAAAACATACTGAGGATATATCAACACGCAAAGGACATACGAATCATGATAGTGGAAATGCTAACCTGCATCCTTCAAAATAAAAGTATGACTTTGATACATATGAATTCTTCCAAAATGTATAATGCTGTATTCATATTATAGCGCAACAAAATCACACTACTACATTAACTTTGTGTTGCTGCTGAGTCTCTTTTTCTGTGATAGCTCATTTTATATAGTAATATACCACTACATGTGTTCTTCTTACTAGCCCAGTGATAACAAAAGTATTGAATATATTTTACCTAATACATTAATTCAAATCTACATGACCACAGAATCATTTCTTACAGTGTAGAAACATGGTGGCTCAACACGGCCGGCCTCCACAGAAGGTGGAAATGTGGCCCTTATCAAAGTTGCTCAAATCCTCATGCTGCCCATTTATCCCGCTTCTAACACATCAACTTTGAGGACAAAATGTTCACTTGCTGCCTGATATATCCCACCCACTGACAGGAGCCACGATAACAAGATAATCAGTGGTATTCACTTCACCGTCTGACTCAAAACGGCTGATTCACAAACACAACGATTCCTATATTCAGGTGATTATACACTAATGAAAACATACCTATAAATATTATGTTCCATTTCTGCCAATAGAGCCTCCTAAATGTTACACACTGGACCTTTAACCACAATCACAATCTTTCCCTAACTTTAACCAAAGTGCTTTTGTTGCCTAAACCTAACCAGAGACCGGAGTCTGGACGCAGATCTTGTGGATCCAGCGTGTTACATAAATGTAGTGATTCATTCTCTCAAAGAAACTTTGACTTTGTATATAAAAAAACAACGTAATTAAGAAAACAATTCTGTATTTTAGGAGACAGGGTTGTCTGGGGACCGTGGATGTTTTTACAAATCCATGGCGACATGTCCAGAGTCAGAGAACATAAAAGACTCCTCCTATTACCTCCACCTGTGGTGTGTCTATAGATCTAACCAAGAGCAAAATGTAGAACACACCTGAAGATTATTCACATCTAGTTCTGTGAGTATAACTTATAGTACTGTATTATGTGAAATTATGTTTCAGCTGCTTTCATTTTCCTTCACGTAGATGCTGCAAACTTCAAATCAGATCACCAATTTCTCAGGAGAAGAATAAGAGTTTTACTGAATTCTTAGTCTCTGATTTGTTGTGTGGAATGGAAAACAGCACTGTTTCCTTTTACTTTAACCTCACCATGTTTGTGAACATTGGACACTACCGCTATCCAGTCTTTGTTTTTTGCCTCCTGCTGTACAGCTTTATTCTCTCTGCTAATCTTGTCATAATAGTGGTGATATCTCGAGAAAGAACACTACACGAACCCATGTATGCGTTTATTGCCTTGTTATCTGTCAACTCTCTGTATGGATCGACTGGTTTCTTCCCCAGATTCCTCATGGACCTTCTCTCTGATACTCATTTGATCTCACGTCATGCTTGTTTCACCCAGATCTATGTTATTTACACATATGCCTCCTATGAAATGACGATTCTTGGCATTATTGCATATGATCGGTATGTTGCGATTTGTCACCCTTTACACTATCACAGAAAGATGAACAATAAAACGGTTAGAAAGTTGGCAGCATTGGCTTGGATTTGCCCAGCTTTTGGTATTATGGCATTGATTTCTTTGTCCGTCTGGCTTCCTTTATGTGGTAATGAGATACAAAAAATATTTTGTGCCAACTGGAACGTTGTAAAATTGTCATGTGTTAACACTCTTGTGAACAATATATATGGTTTGCTTTTGACCATTTGTACAGTTTTCTTTCCCCTTTGTTATGTCCTGTACACCTATCTGCGAATTTTAATGGTTTGCTGGAAAAGCTCGGCTGAATTCAAAGGGAAAGTATTTCAGAGCTGTTTGCCTCATGTTGTTACATTTGTGATTTATTCTATCACAGGATTTTGTGATATTGCCCTGAGCAGGTATAACATTGAAGAGATAAATCCATTTGTGGCTGTTATTCTGTCACTAGAGTTTGTTGTTATTCCTCCAGTTCTCAATCCTCTTGTGTATGGGCTGAAGTTACCAGAAATCAGAAGACACATTTTAAGGTTATTAACATGGTATAAAATAATAAAGTGATAATAAAGTGTTAAAGCTAAAAGCTCATGGAAAATAATCTGTGACAATGTTACCACCATTCGCTTAATGTTCTCACAATATTTAATGAAATTAAGTCTCAAAATGCAGTCTGCAGTATGTTTGGTGGACAGAAATTACTGCATGTTATATCACCATGGATCGGATAAAATGACAATATGATAAACTGAATACGATGAAATGTTACCAATCCTCCAACATTTGTGGTTACAGTTGGGCAACAAAAACAAGAATGATAAAATGATATGAATGATGAAGTCCTCGTTAAAGCTCCTTTCCCCTGAGCTGAGACGAGACCTTTGGAATCAGTACCGCCACAACTATCAATGACAGATTTGACAGATATTTATTGCTTTCCACACATGTAACATTTTTTCCATTTTATTTTAAGTGGCCTCATTTTCATCTCACAACATTTCAGGATTTCAGTTGTTTTGATTTAATTTTGAAAACAACACAAGACCTCAGTTTTGTCATTTTCATGTTAATTTGTTTACTAACTGTACATTGATCATCATACTATATTAAAAAATCTTTATATTATGTCCTCTGTTTAAATAAAATGTAATTCAGTTTTCATAAATTGGTTTACAAATTCACGTCATTTTTTTTAATGGTGGAAAAGGGACAGTACACTGACAGTGGCAGAGACATACAATACATAGAAATCAGAGGGAAAGGTTTACAAGCAACATGTAGGCTATTGCAATGTAAACAATCAGAGGACACCACAATCACCATATTAACAACAGCAACAACAACAACAATAATAATAATGGTAAACCAGTTATTGTTGCTAGAAGTGGTTAGGGCACTCCTGTGCTCAGACAGAGGGAAGACTAAAGTTAAATAAATAAGAAGTTAAATAAAATAAATAAATAAATAAATGAGAGGTCAGCTCAGAAATGTAACCTCCAATACTACAGGAATTATGTTCCCTCAGTGTGACCAATCACATTATTGACAGAGAATCATTGGTTAAGCTTAAGGTTGATTTTTACCATTTAAACTGAGATTACACATTATGTAGAAAGTTGGACCTCAAGTGCACAGGCGGATTAATGCACAGGCTGGCCTAGGCTGCAGCCTAGGCGCCCCACGTGTGCAGGGGCCCCGGACTGACTATTTTTAATTATTTTAATTTACTACACCGGGAAAAAAAACTTGCCTTCTATTGGGGCCCTTAGAAACAAAACAAAAAAAATGAAGTCGCTGATTGGATAGATATGGGACACATTTACCCAATCAGCTGCCATCATGTGGCCGGGTTCATAAGTTCAGTTTTGTTGTCAAATGATACGTCACTCAATGTCAGTGGACAGTATAGCGGCAAAATGTCAGAAAGAAAATGTGATAGCGGAGCACGAAAAAGAGCGGCCAAGTCGACCATGACAATGCCTCACAATCTCAGAGGGGCCGACACTTCAACTACCCGAAACACCGGTATGTTGTCCCACTAACACCCCGGGAATTAGCCACAATGCCCCAGCCACCACATCCACAGATCCCTCTGTGACAGCCTCACCCGTTGCTACGGAGAGTGCACACAAGGCCGCCAATCCCGCTACCTAAAGCTTGGATCCTGCATGCTGGGATAAAATTGATGAATACATGAGGACATACTGGGTTAAAATGGGACCTGAAACTTGTCAGAACAAGGACGTCTCTGATGTCCATCGAAAGTGATATTCTGCGTAAACTGGATTTTACCAGCCTCATTAAAGACTTCTCTGTCAGAAAAACGAGGAAAGAAAACTTCTAAAAAAGGGACAAATATGATTGTGCTGTTATTGTGTGCTGTTACCGCTGCTGTGTTTATTGTATTTTTATTTGTTGTTATTGTACTGCACAGCGGTCCGATTTGTGTTTCAGTCAGGACGTTGTAATTATTCCTCAGTAGCAGGCATATTCCGACGTTGGCCTGCCTGTTGGTTTAGAAATCTAAAAGCAGTTTGCAGATGCTCTGTGAAGGCCTTTTTCTGAGGCACTGTTGTTTATAGTAAAGGCTGTGTCAACGTGTGTGTGTGTGTGTGTGTGTGTGTGTAAGTGCCACGTAAAATTCCAAGCAGGTTTTTTTTTCTGATAAAGCATGATTAATAATGTGGGGGGCCCAAACAAACAGTAGCCTGGGGGCCCATGACCACCTTAATCCGCCACTGCTCATGTGGGAGCCCACTGTGGGGCCCGTTAACAGATGTGAAATACAGGGGTGGAAAGTAACGAGTTACATTTACTCTCGTTACTGTAATTGAGTAGTTTTTTTGTTCACTTGTACTTTTAGTCACTTTTTGTCATTTTACTTTTAGTTAAGTACATATTGTTGGAAGTAATTTACTTCACTACATTTTAAATTGCTTCTGTTACAAAGTAAAAAATAAAAATAATTGAACTTGCACTGCGTCTGCGTGCCAGTAACTGTCCATCTGATTGGCTCCGGACAACTGCAGCGCCAGAAGGCTGACTACTGGCAATATTATCTGTATGTGAACCAAAATGTGTAAGTAGAATATCAACAATTGGGAATTTCTGGCCTTTAGGATGTTGTGACTAACCAACTAACTAGTAGATCTGTTGTCATTTTCCTCGGTGCATTATATCGACTGGAGTGTATCATATCGCCTAAAGATGGTTATAGTGTTGTACCGTGTGATTTAATCCGTCCCAAAATCTGGGACGACCCATTGGGCTATTAAGTTTGAATAGCAGAAAGTGGCAAATAGCTATCTTAGCTTAATCATAGCACTGATACCCACTAGACGTTGCATGTGTTTCATATGCTGGGGTCACTGTGCCGTCTATCGTGACATCACACATTGGTTCGTGGAGTACCGTTTTTAGGCTTAAAGATCGGCTTTATGATCATCGCCATGGCGGTTTGTTGGAGCCAGCGGTGACATACTGCGAGTTGAGCTGCGTTAATTGGCTGCGCAATTTTACATTTACTTGTTCGCGCAAGTTACCAAGCAACTGCAACGTCACTGATTTCAAAGTCACATGTGAACGTCATTGAGTGTTACTGCCACAAAATAATATAAACCAATGGTATCACATCAGGTTAGTGATGGGTAGAGACAAAACAGCATGTCCCTCCCACAGATTAGTTTGTGGTAATGCAATTTCTTATCTGTGCAGCATTACATCTGAAACACGGTAAACTGTAAGATTCTGTGATGGATAATGTTTCAGTTATTACTATGTTTACTCTGTCTGGTTTAAATGGGACAACGAACTACAGAGTTACTCTGTTTGCTCTCACTTTACTGTGTTATTGTCTGATTTGGTTGGTAAATGTGACCATTATTGTGACAATCATTATGGACAAAAGCCTTCATGAACCCATGTACATCTTCCTCTGTAATCTGTGCATCAATGGACTTTATGGGACAGCAGGATTTTATCCCAAATTCCTTGTGGATCTTCTATCCAACATTCATGTAATCTCTTACGCTGGATGTTTCCTGCAGGGTTTTGTGTTGCACTCTTCAGCTTGTGCTGATTTCTCTCTTCTAGTGCTAATGGCCTATGACAGATATGTGGCTATATGTCGACCTCTGGTATACCACTCTGTGATGACTACACAAAAAATTTGTCTGCTTGTGTTTTTAGCTTGGCTTGTTCCCTTTAACCTGTTGTTTCTGAGCACAATAACCACATTAAGATCGAGGTTATGTGGCTCACACATACCTAAAATCTACTGTATTAATTTTTTGATTGGTAAACTAGCTTGTTCTGCCTCCATAGCAAATGTTATTGTTCCAGCTTTTAATTATACTTTTTATTTTGGCCATGTAATTTTTGTTGTTTGGTCTTACATATATATGATCAGAACATGCTTAACATCCAAAGAGAACAGGAGTAAATTTATGCAGACATGTTTGCCACATTTATTCTGTTTAATAGTTGTTGTTGGATCTTTGCTTTTTGATTTGTTGTACATGAGATTTGGCTCAAAAGATATATCACAAAGTGTTGAGAATTTTATGGCAATAGAATTTCTTGTTGTCCCTCCAATTATAAATCCCCTGATCTATGGTTTCAAATTGACACGAATAAGAAATCGAATTCAAAGTTTTATGTGCAGTAAAAGTTCAGTTTTTAGATAAACTTATGAGTTGGAAAAATCTGTTTGTGTCTGTATGTGATTTGGGAGAAATACTTTTGACGCTAACAATATTGTATTGTTGTATCAGTAAACAATGTGACAGTTGTACTTTACCACCATTCCAGGTTGTACAGTACAAATATACCAACACAGGACTTAAAGAAAGCAACATGAAAAGCAGGCCAACTACATTTATCTAACAATTATGTTTTAATGTTTCTCCAACCACATCACATTTAATGTATTGTCAGCCATATGTTGCTTTCAATAAATCTCTACTGGATCATAAAATGTGTTCCTTTGTATTACATAGCTGTGCCTCAAAACTGCATGAGTTGTTGGGTACTGAAAGAGAGTGGAAAACCCTTAGAGCAAAAATAGCAGCACCTACAATGTAGAGAAATAGTGGTTGTAACTTTGGGGTCTATTCTTCAAGTACAACAGTCTGAATTCATGAAGTAATTGCAAGATTATCTGAGGCAGTGATTTAAAAACAATGTAGAATATTGTTGTAACTCTCACAGTCGAGCAGTGTCTGAACCTGGTGTCTGTATAGTGCTCCCATAAGGAGTACCTTTACCTGATCAAGCTGAACAAAAAATGTAAAGCGGCCATCCCAACTATTGAAACGTCTATTATTTACTATTTATAAATTAGCAATATTTTAATTGTCTACCCTAATATGTTCTAAAGAAAAAACTGATGACCCCTGATTAAGTGATGTATTTAATTTAATATTTAATATCTGCACAACAATAACAGTACAGAACAACTGATAAACTGTACAATGAACCCACTGCAATAACTGCAGAAAATTTGTGTAAAAGATTATATCTTGTGAATTTATCAGATGAGTTTTCCTGATCATTTATGAACAATTCTCTGTTTTATGTACTTTTTCAGAAGTTAGCTTCTGCCTGAAGCTTGGCCATTGTTCTGTTAGCTTGTTGGTTGTTTTAACTGAATGCTTTTCTAAAGCAGAATGAGGCTGTTAGACAAAAAGTGAAGGCTCTGTGAATATAGTTTGTCTTCAGGTCTTCAAAGTTTAGATCTTAAAGATAATCTAAACAATTTCATACAGGTTTCTTCACATAAATTAACAAATGAGGTATAGGTCCAGTGTGTATATTTTTTAAAAGTTTTCTTACATTTCTTAAAATCAAGAAGGCCTCGCGACCCCCTGTGAAGCTTTGACGACCCCTAGAGGTGCCCCTCAGGTTGGGAACCACTGGTCTGTGGTGTTAATGTCTTGGGGAAGTAGCTTTAGAGGGAGGCCTGAAGGGAGGGGATGGGATTTTACCTACCCTAGGCATAACAACCTATTTTTTAAATTCATATAAATTCATTAATTCATTCATATAATTTTTTTTTTTAATTGATAGCATTTCACACCAAACTGTGGTGGGCAACTGGTGTGGCCACAGGGCCGTGCTCAGCGGGAGGGTGACACTTCTTCCACTCGCTCTGTAGCATGACATTTATTTTACTTGACTCAGTCTCCCCCTGTATCCCTGTTTCCACTTCACTTCCCAAGGCCCGTGCATTTCTTAGGAACTGTAACAATTGTCCATCTGTCCACCACATGCCCTCAGACGTTCCCAATGTTCCCAGTAACCTGACTACTACACCCACCTGCTCACCTGTTCTTTAATCCCCAGTTACACCCCTTAGTATTCATACCAGCTAATCTCCACCTGGCTAAACCTGAACCAAAATCTGTACATATCTGCCAGCATTTGCTTGTTAGAATGTGCATTAGCTTTGTCTTCTTTATTTTTTTAAAATTATTTATCTCTTTTTAACCTATGTGTCAAATGGATACTGCAAACCAAAGCCTATTTCCCAGTCTGCTAGCCTGAGGCCTGCTAGGTTCTGGCCTCACTGTCCTGAGCCGGTTGACCAGGAACTTGACTCTCCTGACCCAGCTAGCCTTTTGTTGCCTGTCTCCCCTGATCCTGTATCTGCTGAACTTATATGCTTAAAATTGACCAGTGAAGGAGCCACCCTCATGTATGGTAGCCATCTTTGATATGGTCTGGTCTCTCTATTTCCAGGGAGTATCCCTGCATTCAAGTCCCCAGAAGAAGTTCTGGTCACCATCAGCTTTCTCAGCTGCCCAGAGGTTCGGCATCATTGCTGCCCAGCACCATGACTGACCATGATCCAGAACCCTCTACAGCCACCTCTGCCATTCAATCAGCTGGCCCTGCCAATGCCCAGCCAGATCATTAGTCAGCAGGAGCAGCATTTATTCATCTTCACAATTAATCATGATATCAAATTAAAAAAATTATAAAAGTTGTTTGAATAAAACAATTTCCTGATGCCAAACTCAGTTTTATGTCCTGTAAAAGCAGGCAGCTAGGGAGGGACTTATCGCCCAGGGCTTCATGCGGCACTGAGCAGCTTTCATACGTATGAACAGAGCGCTGCCTCTGCAATACATCCATGCCTGTTACCCTCTGCCCTCACTGTCCTGAGCCAGCTAGTCCATCGCCACACGTCTCGCTGATCGTGTATCTCCTGAATCTATTTTCAGGGATTATCCCTCTTTCTGAGTCCTCAGAGGAAGTTATGGTCACCATCAGCTTTCTCAGCTGCCCAGTGCCACATAGCCTCCACTGCCCAGCACCAAACATGACCACCAGCCAGAACCCTAGAGCCACCTCTGCCATTTCGTCAGCTGCCTCCACCATCATCCCATCCCCAAGAAACCAAGGACCACAGGACTCGATGACTACAGAACGATGATGCACTTCTACACTGCCATCATCAAGTCCAACCTGTGTCCCTGATTCTGTATCTCCGGAACTTTATGAGACTTAAATGGGCCAGTGGAGGAGCCACCTTCATGTCTAGCAGACATCTTTGATTGGGTCTGGCCTTGCCATTTTCTGTTGGGTCCCTATGGCTCCCGAGGCTATCGGCTTTCTCAGCTGCCTGGATCTCACAGTTGACCATCACCACAGAGCTGCACAGCAACTTCTGCCATTCAGTCAGATCAGTCGGCTGTTCATTGGATTGTTTGAATTCCCATGTTCACCAGCTTATTATCTGTTGCTGTTATGAAATGATATAAGCTGATATCAGACTAACAGTTCAGGCTGTTAGGGATAGACAGACACAGAGCTGGATGCCCATTTTAGTATTGTTTCCAAATTCAAGTTATCTATTGCAACAGAATAGTTGTTTTCAGATTTTTGTAGAATTGTGAAAAAAACAAATATGGATAATGTTTCAGTTATTACTATGTTTACTCTCTCTGGGTTAAGTGACATAACAAACTACAGAGTTACTCTGTTTGCTCTCACTTTACTGTGTTATTGTCTGATTTGTTTGGTAAATGTGACCATTATTGTGACAATCATTATGGACAATAGCCTTCATGAACCCATGTACATCTTCCTCTGTAATCTGTGCATCAATGGACTTTATGGGACAGCAGGATTTTATCCCAAATTTCTCATGGATCTTCTATCTACCATTCATGTAATTTCTTATGCTGGATGTTTAGTGCAGGGTTTTGTGTTGCACTCTTCAGCTTGTGCTGATTTCTCTCTTCTAGTGCTAATGGCCTATGACAGATATGTGGCTATATGTCGACCTCTGGTATACCACTCTGTGATGACTATGCAAAGAGTTTGTGTATTTGTGTTTTTTGCTTGGCTTATACCCCTTTTTTTGGTGTTTATAGGTTCAATAACCACATTAAGATCGAGGTTATGTGGCTCACACATACCTAAAATCTACTGTATTAATTTTTGGATTCGTAAACTAGCTTGTTCTGCCTCCATAGCAAATGTTATTGTTCCAGCTTTTAATTATACTTTTATTTTGGCCATGTTATTTTTGTTGTTTGGTCTTACATATATATGATATGATGTCTGTTTGTGATTTGGGAGAAATACTTTTGACAATAACAATGTTGTATTGTTGTATCAGTCAACAATGTGACAGTTATACATTACCACCATTCCAGGTTGTACAGTACAAAAGTCCCAACACAGGACTTAAAGAATGAAAGAAAGCAATGTAGTATATTTTATCTAACAGTTATGTTTTAGTGTTTCAAATCACATCACATTTAATGTGTTTTCAGCCATATGTTGCTTTCAATAAATCTGTACCTGATCATAAAATGTGTAGCTTCTTTCACATAGCTGTGTCTCAAAACGTATTTTGCATGAGTTGTGGGGAATTGAGAGTGAAAGTGAGAAACCCTTCACATAAAAAAGTAGAAAGTAGGCAAGTGCATCTCCATCCCTGAGACTGAGACCATTACATTACACACATATATATATATATATATATATATTGATAGATTTTTGAGGGCGGAAAACACGGAACTGTTGGAATGCTACTACATGAGCAACCCCAGAGAGAAGGGATACATGCAGCGAATGTGGGACCATTGGTTACTTCAAAACCCATAATCAAGGCTAACAACGAAACAGCTGTTACCCCAGTGTTCCAACATCCGCAATCGAAAACTCCTATCACAACTAGAGATCAATGAGATACAACAACGATGCTACGGCAAGGGGGCGCCAGGACGACAGGTCAGCGGGGGGATGCCACCATCACCCCCACAATCAGAGATTGGGTGCCAAGCCCCAACAAATACCAACAGCCTCAGTACAAGAACTGCTGACCTGAGATTGAAGATCATGGCCCAATTAGAAACCTGGAACCCCCGAAGAATACCGAAGCTGACTTGTAAAGTACCTTCAGAAGATCTGCTAGTGGATGTGAATGCACTACTCCCTACGGGAACCATCACTGAGACTAATAAGCTGATACACAGTACAGCAACAGTAATCCTAGAAATGCTTGGATACAAGATGGGCTCAAACCATAACAGGCAGCATCCACCGTGGAGAATTAGATTAGAGGCCAAGATAAGGGCAACACGGAGAGAAGTTAGCCAGCTAGCAGAGCTACAGAAGGGTAACAATAAAGGGGCACCCAGAAAATACACCAAGCTCTCCATACCTGAAGCACTCGAAACTGCCAAACAGAGACTAACAGCACTGGCCACCCGGTTGAAGAGAAACACCAAGGAGGCAGAGGCCAGGAGAATAAACAAGTTGTTCTCCACTGAACCAGCCAAGGTGTACTCTCAGTGGCAGGGAGGAAATAACAACAGGCCAGACCCACCAAGAGCTGAGGTGGAAGAATCCTGGAAGGCCATATGGGAAAAAGAGGCATCACACAACCCAGATACCCAATGGCTAGTGGACCTAAGAGCAGACCACAGCAACCTCCCAGAACAAGAACCAGTAACCATCTCAATGGCAGACATCCAAGAAAGAGTGTCAAAGATGAAGAGCTGGACAGCACCAGGCCCCAATATGATCCATGCCTACTGGCTGAAGAAGGTAACAGCACTCCATGAACGCCTAGCAGCACAGATGAACCAGGTGCTAAGGGATGGGTCCCACCCAGAGTGGCTAACCCAGGGCAGAACAGTCCTAATCCTGAAGGACCCTAAGAAGGGACCCATCCCATCCAACTACCGGCCAATAACCTGTCTCTCCACAACATGGAAGGCCCTATCAGGTATCATCGCGGCTAAGATGAGTAAGCACGTAGCTCAATACATGAGCGGGGCTCAGAAGGGAATTGGTAGCAACACCAGAGGAGCCAAGCACCAGCTACTGGTCGATAGAGCAATCGCCCGAGACTGTAAGAGCAGGAAGACCAACCTGTGCACTGCCTGGATCGACTACAAGAAAGCTTACGACTCAATGCCCCACACGTGGATACTGGAATGTCTGAAACTGTATAAGATCAACAGGAACCTAAGGGCCTTCATCCAGAACTCGATGGGAATGTGGAAGACAACCCTAGAAGCCGACTCAAAGCCAATTGCCCAAGTCAACATCAAATGCGGCATATACCAAGGAGATGCGCTATCACCACTGCTGTTCTGCATAGGCCTGAACCCCCTCAGTCAGATCATCACAAAGAGTGGTTACGGGTACCAATTCCGAAGTGGAGCAACAATTAGCCACCTGCTCTACATGGATGACATCAAGCTGTACGCCAGGAATGAGCGAGAAATCGACTCGCTGATCCACACCACCAGGATCTACAGCAACGACATAGGGATGTCATTCAGATTGGACAAGTGCAGCCGGATGGTCTCAAAGAGAGGCAAGATGATCAGAACTGAAGGGGTTGACCTACCAGAGGGCAACATAGGTGATATCCAAGACAGCTACAAGTACCTTGGTATCCCACAGGCTAATGGAAACCATGAGGAAGCCACAAGGAAGTTAACCACAACCAAATACTTCCAGAGAGCAAGGCAGGTCCTGAAAAGTCAGCTGAATGGCAGGAAAAAGATCCAAGCCATCAACATGTACGCACTACCAGTCATCAGATACCCTGCTGGGATCATAAGCTGGCCAAAGGAGGAGATAGAAGCCACAGATATCAAACAAGAAAGCTCCTCACCATGCACGGAGGGTTTCACCCCAAATCCAGCACCCTGAGACTGTACGCTAAGCGGAAAGAGGGAGGCCGAGGACTAGTGAGCATCAAGGCCACTATCCAGGATGAAACATCAAAAATCCAAGACTACATCAGAAAAATGGCCACAAAGGATGAACTGCTAAGTGAATGTTTCAGGCAACAGAAACCCGATAAGAGTGCAGAGGAAGAGGAGCAGACAACCTGGAGGGACAAGCCCCTACATGGCATGTACCACCGCCAAAATGAAGAAGTGGCTGATATCGAGAAGACCTACCAATGCCTGGAAAAGGCTGGACTGAGAGGCACTGATCATGGCAGCACAAGAACAGGCCCTAGGTACAAGAGCCATAGAGGCCAAGATCTACAAGAGTAGATCTGACCCAAGGTGCAGACTATGCAAAGATGCCTCTGAGACAGTCCAGCACATAGTAGCAGGGTGTAAGATGCTAGCCGGTTCAGCGTACATGGAGAGACACAACCAAGTGGCTGGAATAGTGTACAGGAACATCTGTACCCAGTATGGAATAGAAGTACCCAAATCCCAATGGGCCGCACCACAGAAGGTGGCTGAGAACAACAGGGCCAAGGTGCTGTGGGACTTCAGCTTCCAGACTGACAAACAGGTCCTGGCTAACCAACCGGACACAGTGGTGGTAGACAAGGAGCAGAAGAAAGCGGTGGTGATAGATGTGGCCATACCAGCAGACGCCAACATCAGAAAGAAGGAACACGAAAAGGTTGAAAAGTACCAAGAGTTGAAAGAGCAGCTGGAGCAGATGTGGAAGGTCAAGGCGAGCGTGGTCCCCGTGGTAGTAGGAGCACTCAGGGCAGTGACCCCCAAACTGGGGGAGTGGCTCCAACAGATCCCAGGAACAACATCAGAAGCCTCAGTCCAGAAGAGCGCAGTCCTAGGAACAGCTAAGATACTGCGCAGAACCCTCAAACTCCCAGGCCTCTGGTAGAGGACCCGAGCTTGAGGATGACACAGATACCCCCCCAAGAGGGAAGTTTTTTAGATTTTGTTCCATGAGTTTGATCAATCACATTATTGATAGAGATAATTATTCATGGATGAAGATTCATGCCATTTCAACTGAGATTACATATTAGCCATAAACATTGTAGTGGAACTGGTACATAGATAAAAACAGCACATTTTAAGGTTACAAAAACACAGCAATTCCTATATTTAGGTGATTATACACTAATGAACACATACCAATGTATTTATGTCTGTGTGTGTGTGTGTGTGTGTGTGTGTGTGTGTATATATATATATATATATATTATGGTCTTAATCTCTAGTTTCAAGTCTTCCACGCAACACAATCGTTTAATTATGGTCCAATTTAGAGTAAAAAAGTTTTTAAGTTTAATAAAACTTTATTAAGTCGTAGAAATGTTGCTGAAAACAAAAATTTAATCTGTAAAGATTTGCCAGGGCAATTTAGCGCAACCTAGGGGGGAATACCACTGGGCCATTGTTTGTCTCGGAGGCAATGAAGTCAGCCAATCTCTGATTTCTAATGTATCCTTCCTGTTTCTAACCCCACCATAAAGTAGACATTCAACACGTCCAACAAAACTCATAATCAGGGACTCTACAGCAACATTTCCTTGAGGTGGCAGGTATCAAAAACCTTACGAGCGATAACTCACTTTCATCATATTTTATTAAACATTTTTATCATACTTATTTCTGCATTATTTGTTTGCTTAAAACAATAAGCTGTAAGTAATTACACACAGTGATTAGTGTTCTACCTCACAGCTTTCAGGATCTCAATATCAGAGGACGTGATTTCCTTATTTGAAGATACAATACTGAAAGATATAAAGAAGGTTTAAGGCTCTTTTTTTTTTTTACAAGGAATCTCTAGTTGAACCTGGTATGAGTGAAATGGAAAATGAAACTATAGTGTTTCACTTTAACCTCACCATGTTTGCAGACATAGGGTATTACCGTTATCCAGCATTTGTGCTGTGCCTCCTGCTGTTTGCCCTTATTGTCTTTGCTAATCTTGTTATAATACTGATAATATCACGAGAGAGAGCACTTCATGAGCCCATGTATATTTTTATTGCCTTTTTGTCTGTCAACTCTCTGTATGGTTCGAGTGGTTTCTTCCCAAGGTTCCTCATGGACCTTCTGGCAGATACTCATTTAATAGCACGTCCTGCTTGTTTTACTCAGATCTATATCATTTGCACATATGCTTCCTATGAAATGATGATTCTTGGCATTATGGCATATGATAGATATGTTGCTGTGTGTCATCCTTTACACTATCACAGCAAGATGACCTCTAAGACACTCTGGGGGTTGACAGCTTTTGCTTGGCTCTGTCCAGCCTTTTCTTTAGGAATGTGTCTTTATTTGACCATCAGGCTTCCTTTGTGTGGTAACAACCTTGTTAAAGTATACTGTGCCCTCTGGAATATTACTAAACTGTCATGTGTTTACACTTTGATCAACAATATTTTTGGCTTTCTGGTAACCACAAATATGTTAATTATTCCCCTGGTCTATGTTTTGTATACCTACTTTCAAATTATACTTGTGTGCAGGAGAAGCTCATCTGAATTCAAGAGTAAAGCCTTCAAGACCTGTTTGCCACATACTATTTCATTTGTCAGTTATTCCCTCTGTTTATTTTTTGACGTTGCCTTAAGTCGTGTTAATGTTGAAAAGTTAAACCCATTGTTAGCTGTAATTTTTTCATTGGAGTTTGTAATTGTACCTCCAATTCTGAACCCTTTTGTTTATGGCCTGAGGTTGCCAGAAATAAGAAAACACATCGTCAGTGTCACTCTCTTAAACTCTACTTAAGAGTCACAGAATTATTTATATTCTTATTATGATGTTTGTGAACTATTTTCTTTTAAAGCAGCATGGTCTGTCTCTGACTAAGGTCTAACAGGTACATATGATACATAACAAAGAAAGAATTTCACTGTATTGCTAACTGTTTTTTTCTGCATATGCAGCCCTTTGAATCCTTACAAAATAAAATTAACTGTTGTACTTCATTGCCCCGTGTGCAGTGTGTCATATAATAAGTTCAATAAGGATGAGTAGAACAGGGATCTCAAACTCTCTTCCCTCTGGACTGCTACATGATGTCAAAAATATAATATAATCATGTTTTTCTAGTTGTTTCATATAAATGTAAGCTTCCCCTTCATATATAATTAAAACAAAAACTGAACTGTATTTGAAAAAAATATATTTTATTTGATTCAAATTAATGGAAAAGGTCAAATGTGTGCTAATGGTTTATAAGAAGAGAGCAGGTTTTCAGGGCTTTTATTGTTGTTTGGCTGTCAGCCACAAAGATGACATAAAATGATATAAACATGTATATAATCTGCTGTTTGCCTTTTTTGTGATGTTAGTAATGGAAATATTTCCAGAAAATTGCAATTTCTTGTAGTACTTGTAGAACGTTGAAGTGGCCTTCCTATGAAATGACAATACCAGCAGCGCGCCTAAGTCAGTTTGATAAAAAACAAGCCTATTCATAATAAAATATCCATATTTAACTCACCAGCCTTCCAACATACAGTAATAAAGCATAAAATGTATTTATTTACAAGGCAAGGTCCACACAGCACACGTGAGCAGGGACAGTATACAGAAATTTGGTGCAGGTACTTTAATGCTCACAGCACTTTATAGGATAGCAATCAGACAGTGATGGAAATATAGTGGAAGAAATGTTGGAGGAACGATCTCTGGCCTGCCTGAACAATGGACAGGGTACAAGAGTAGATGTAAACATGGGTACAGTATCTTGCCTGCAGTGGCGGACTTATAGTCTTCTATGTAACACATTTCTTCTAACAATTTTAGAAGAAAATACATTTTAGAAGCTTAACCCTTGTGTGGTGTTCGGGTCTGTGGGATCCGTTTTCATTTTTTATTAAAAGAAAAATGATACAATTAATTAATTTTTCAAACTGAGACTCACTGACTTTGGCTCATTTTCTGTGAAGAACATATATCAGAATACATATTTAATGACCACACACCATACACCCCCCCTACACATTTCTATTACATATAAGATGTCCGGGTCCTAACCCTAACCCTAACATCAGAGGGTCAAATGTGCAAGTGTCAAGTCTTCCAAGGAACCCACCAAAGGAAAAAGATAATGAAGAGGGGAGAAAAAAAAAAAAACAAAAAAAAAAAAAACAAAAAAAAAATAAAAAAAAAAAAAAAAAAAAAAAAAAAAAAAAAAAAAAAAAAAAAAACAAAACTTATAATAATAAATTTAAATATACAAAAAAAAAATAAAAAAAAAAAAAAAAAAAAAAAAAAAAAAAAAAAAAAAAAAAAAAAAAACAAAATAAAAAAAAAAAAAAAAAATAAAAAAAAAAAAAAAAAAAAAAACCACAAAAAAAAAAAAACACTGTGTAAAAAAAAAAAAAAAAAAAAAAAAATAAAAAAAAAAAGAAAAAAAAATAAAAAAAAAAAAAAAAAAAAAAAAAAAAAAAAAAAAAAAAAATAATTTTAAAAAAAAAAAAAAAAAAAAAAAAAAAAAAAAAAAAAAAAAAAAAAAAAAAAAAAAAATAAAAAATAAAAAAAAAAAAAAAAAAAAAAAAAAAAAAAAAAAAAAAAAAAAAAAAAAAAAAAAAAAAAAAACAAACACCCCTAATTTTTCTTTTTCACCACTTTTTTAAAAAAAAATAACAAAACCCAATTAACCCCCTTTTTTTTCACCTCCTCCCTTTCCTCCTCCCCCTCCCTCTTTTACCTTTAATAAAAAAAAAAAATAAAAAAGGGTGGTTTATTTAAAAAAAAAAAAATTTTATTAAAAAAAAAAAAAAAAAAAAAATAAATTATTAAAAATTTTTTTAAAAAAAAAAAAAAAAATAAAAAAAAAAAAAAAAAAAAAAAAAAAAAAAAAAAAAAAAAAAAAAAAAAAAAAAAAAAAAAAAAAAAAAAAAAAAAAAAAAAAAAAAAAAAAAAAAAAAAAAAAAAAAAAAAAAACAAGTTTGTATACACGGCTGACACATCCCTGGTATCCTATGTGCCAAAGAAAGGCAAGAATGTGGTACTCATGAGTACACTGCACGGGGATGGAAGAATCTGTGACCAGGAACATCACAAACCAGAGATCATCATGGATTATAATGCCACAAAAGGAGGGGTAGACAACATGGACAAGCTGGTGACGGCCTACAGCTGCAAACGGAGGACTCTACGCTGGCCACTGGTGATATTCTTTGACATGTTGGACATCTCAGCGTACAATGCCTTTGTCATTTGGATGGCACTGAACCCAGAGTGGAAACGAGTGAAGCTCCAGAAAAGACGGCTCTTTCTTGAGGATCTGGGAAAGGCATTGGTGAGACCACAAATCGAGAGAAGAAAACATATCCCCAGAACCCCAGCCTCTGCAGCCATGGTGAGGAGGATTCAGGAGGAGAATGCTGGTGCCCTGTCCACCCAACCTACAGAACCACAATCTGCAGAGCCTGAAGTAAGTGTGTGATGCTGTTGCAGTACATGTCTGGCACTCATGTCTTGTGAGAGAGAGAGAGAGAGGTGTTAGTAAAATTCCTGATCTTTTCATTATTCTAGGTTGTGAACACCAGCAACAAGAAGAAGCGGTGCGAAGTGTGCGGACCCAAGATGGACAGGAAAACACAATATACATGCATCAAGTGCAAAAAGTATATCTGCAACACACACACAGTAAAGCTCTGCCCCTCATGTGTTGTATAGGCTAGTGGCTAAAGGCCATGTGTTCAATGGGGCTGATATGTTTACTCTGTGTTCATGTGTTCAGCTTGTGTTGTGCACCTGAATGGGTTAAATTTCAAGTTCAAAGAAATAAAAGTCAGTAGTTTTGAAAAACCTTGCTTCACTTGTAAATTTGTTTCCACTCATATCTTGATTTTAATTGATTTTCTTTATTATGTTTTAAATAATAAGTTATAAATGTGACCTAACAAAGGTAAAGGGCAAATATTAACCATATATATTGTTTATACTGCTTGTAATTGGGATAAGGTAAACATCTGTTCAGTATTTTAAAATAAAAGTGTTTGATTGTGAGGCATTAAAAGCCACAAAATGCAACGGGTCCATCAGACCCACAAACGCTGGCTGAGTAACAACAATATGAACATTACACAAGGGTTAAGATAACGTTTGATGAATGTGAATGTAACCAGTTTAAGGCATCTACATGCTACTGCGAAAAGTACAATGGACACATATCTTGATTATTTTTTTTTGGATAGATCCGTTGCCTTGTGTAATACAATAGAAACACAAAACTGAACTGGTGCGGTCCAGAAATCAGATCATCCTCAAGTCTGGCACAGAGTGGCAGATAATGCTGGACATGGATGACCACACATTTGCCCGGTATTTCAGGATCCCTAAAACCTGGTTTGAGGTCCTTCAAAGGTACCTACAGGAGGGTGGCCTGCAAAGTAACCACTACCAAGGGCGGCCTCCCCTGCCTATTGGCAAGAAGGTGCTCATGTTCCTGTGGTACATGGCCAACCAGAACTGCTTCCAGGAGATATCTGACAAGTTCAGTGTCTCATCGTCATCAGTACACCGTGCCATACTTCAAGTGCAGACCATCATGTCCACCCTTGGCCAGGCCTTTGTCTCTTGGCCTACAGGCTGTGAGAAGAGGGTGTCTGCCACCAGTTTTCGAAAACACATCTGGTCCTGAGGGGGTCATTGGAGCGATTGATGGCTGCCACATCAGGATCCAGAGGCAACCGGTCAGAGGAGGGGACTACATGAACAGGAAGTCCTACTACTCTGTCCTCCTCCAGGGGATTGTCAATGCTGAAGGCCGCTTCATCAACGTCTTCACTGGAATCCCTGGCAGAGTGCATGATGCCAGGCTGCTGCTGTCCTTCCCATTTTTCCAACAATGGCAGGAGACAATGGGGGAGTACCGTCTGCTGGGGGATAGCGCTTACATCAGTCAGACTTTCCCCTTCATCATCACCCCCCGACGTGACAACGGGGCTCTCACAGATGCAGGCCTTCGCCGCAACGGCGACATCAGCTGGGGTAGAGTCATCATTGAGCAGGCATTTGGGAGGATGAAGTGCAAGTGGAGGCGCTTGAGAGACTTGCAAAACACATGCACCGTCACTGTGGTGAAGATCATTTTGGCTGCATGTTACCTTCACAACTTTGCCCATGGTGCCTTGATAGGATGTGAAGAGAGGAAGATGGCAACGAGTAGGAAGTGTGTAAGAAGTTCCTGTGTTTTGTAAGTTTATTTAATGGGGGAAAATGGAAAGGCTTGTGTCGCACAGTAATCACATTGTAGAACCAGATAAAAACACTTAAGTGAATGTGCATAAGAAAAGGTCACATTCCAGACTCAAAATGGGCAATACACAGTTCACACTTGCATTCATATTCCAGCTTCATCACACTTACAATTAATGTTTCTTTAGTTATAGACCAGTCTATTTAATGGGGGAAAATGGAAAGGTCACATTCCAGACTCAATGGGCCATACAGTGTCAGTGTCATGTCACTCAGTATGTAGATACCTTCAAGTAAAATGTAACCAACATTTTTTTCCATTCTGAAATCTTTGGCCACAACTATGCACTGACATGGTTCATACTATTTATGGGTGTGATAACAATGCAAGGTATCCTTTGCATGACTGTGTGGTGCCTTTGTAACTAAACACACCTGGGTGACATTCAAACACACTCAAGCTTGGATGAGTTAAACAATATACATGTTTATTTTAAGACAAAAAGTTATAACAATAATAAAAGTGCAAAATAAGAGTACAAAACAAAAGGCTAATCTAAGTTAAAAAATAGAAAGCTGAAATTGTATTGCCAGGTAGGTTTTTACACATACAAGGAATTTGTCTTGGTGCAATGGTGCTTAAAATAAAAAAATCACACAAAAAAATAAGATAAATATATAAATCACACAAATATATAGAAGTCACACAAAAATCACACAAGAATAAAGTCAAATAGAAAAAAGAAAAAAATAGACAAAGCTTTTGAGTATTTTGTCATTGTCCGGCCTTACTTCTTGTCCTGCTGAACAACTGGATGAGGGCACTTCGAGTTTCCCTCATCTCCGCCATGCTCACATCTTGTCGCCTCTGGGCAGCAGCATCAGACCTCTCGAGGTGGGCCAAGAGGTCATCCTCCAGCCTCTGCTGCTTCCGCGACCTCTGCGTGCCAGAGGGTGTGGTGGGGACGGGAGCTGGAGTTCGACTGGCTGAGGAAGAAGCAGGAGACGGGGAAGAGGAGCTGTTGGACTGCGCTGGAGAGGGAGCTCTGGTGGGCAGTGCTGACAACTCTGAGTTGCAGGGAGATGATGAGGGATCCCAGTCTGCTGACGCTGGTGAGGGAGGACCGCTGGACTGCCTCAGTGCATCTGGTCGGCGTATCACGACACCAGCACAATTTCTCCCCACAACAGGTGGGTCGACGTCGTGATTTCCCCCAATCAGCTCGTCCATCTCCGCGTAGAACTGGTAGCGGACAGGCCCCCTTCCTTTCGACGCGTTATTGTCCTTACATTTTTTGTATCCCTCCACCAGCGTCAACCACTTGCATCCCACCATCTCATGCTGGAAGTGCTGCCTGAACTGTCTGCCAAGCTTCCCAGCCATCTCCTCCCACAGCAGTCTCTTCGTTTTCTTCCCCAACCTCAGCCGCCGGTTGAGGTCATTGAGGGACTTTGCAGGTCCCTCACCCTCTACCCCCAGATGGATCCCCATCAGGTGGATTAGGAAGAGGGTCTGCTCTTTGTTGAAGCCGTCTTCACAGGAAGTGGTGCAGTAACCTGGACATTGCAGGTATCTGAATCATAAAAAAGAAACAAGTCAGCACAGTACTTGCAGCACCCAGGGATAAATGACTCTTGAAGTACGCTCATGTCTACAGTATCATGTTTTTTAATAACTCACCCGTGCAAGTGCAATCTGCTGGGTGTAGGTCGGCTGCCACCATAAAGCCCTCATGTACAAAGTAAGTGCACAAAGCAAGTTATAGATCATATTATAAATGCTGTTACTTTGAGTATACAAAAAAGAACAACCCAGGGTAGGAAGAAGATGGTGCCATGGTGGAATTAAGAATGCAGTAGAGCTGTTAAAAAGTGCACCAAAGCATTCAGAGCTTTGAGGAAAAACATGTCTCAAGAGAACCTTATAGATTACCAAAGGAAAAATACGGAGCCCCTAAAGGGACATAGTTTCTTGCGCACATCAGAAAGTACGTTTTTCAAGCATTGCTTAACAACATCGGCTTGGGAAGAACACTTGCTGACTCAGTCGACAAGATGTGCAGAGCAGTCGAGAGGCAGATGACAGCCACTCAGTCCCCTAGGCCAGATGAAGGCCTCAAAGCTTTGGTCAAAATGGAACATCCCAAACTGCATAGGTACCATAGATGGGAACCACTGCAGCACCCAAAAATTACTACTTCAAGAAGGCTTATCACTTCTGCCCTCAACCCCAGTTTCTGTAGCTTCTCCTACCGACGAACAGTCCAATTCTGATTCAGCCATTTTTGCAAATGCGGCAGAGTCCATGAAACTTGTGTTCAAAAACACAGTGGACTAGCAGTGTGAGTGGCTGTCAAACACTGCAGTGGGTATACCCATTGTACCCACAGCAAATGTGATGGAGAAAGTAACTAACCATTTGCATGCAGAGGTTACGGATTTTGGCTCGAAATGCCATGCACGGCAAATGTAGTCTGACTTCCAAGAGGCCCCCGTCTACAGAACATAAAAATGTTCTGTCCTCCATTACATCTGCTGTCCCTGAAAACAAAGACCTGTGACTGAGGTACATACAATGATGATACAATGACAGCAGATGGTATCAATGCAGGCTTCCCTTGAGTCTCTTTTGCAACAACAGTGACAAAGTGAAAGAGATTGGACCTTTTAAAGAAGCAGTAATATCTCTATTTTCATCTCAATCACCCAAACTATGAACAGATGTTGCAAAATGTGAAATATTGTACTATTTTTCAGAAATACAAACCTGAGTCTAGGAAACCTACTGGCTTACATCAACAAATCAAGGTGACGGAACCATGGGAAACATTAGGTTTGGACCTCATGAGCCCCCAGCCCCATACTTCCTTGGGATACACCCAATTACTTGTTCTGGTACACTATTATAGTTGGTGGGTTGAGTTGTTTCCTTCAAGTAATTCCACTTCCACAATCAGCAAGTATCTACGGAAGGACGTCTCAATTCTGACTGGCTATTAAGTAGTCCCAGTCATCTATCCCAACATCTGGGAGGAACCATTGGCTATTAAGTTTGTATTCCACAAAGAAAGTGGAAAGTGTTCATTATAGAAATAATTCCCACTAGACGTTAAATGTGTTTCACATGATATGGTTATTTTAACACCTGCTGTGATAGACAGTTGTGTTCGTGCTAGGGGGGCCTAGCTAGCATAAGCCAACAGTCTTGTGGTGACGGCGAATAACCAGATTTTGTATCATCCACAGCAACAGGTGTGTTATCTGAGTACTCTGTACATCACTCATGACTCAGAGTAACTAATACGTTCATGGAGTCATGGTTTAACATATGCAGTGCTCAAATCACAGTTGGCACAAAAAGCAAAAAGCAACAACTGTTGTATCGTCTGATTGTTTCACTTCTCGTCTCTTGCTCCATCAGACTTCAGATCAGATTTTCTATAAAATGTCTATGTTTAAAAGCAAATAATACACATTTACTTGTTCCGCAAGTTACTGCTCTACCAAGCAACAGCAACATCCCTGATTGGAAGTTTGAAGTCCCACGTGTACAATGTCATCAAGTGTTACTGCCTGAAATAATATAAACCAATGATAACACATCAGGTTAGTGATGGGTAGACACAAGACAGCATGCCCCTTTTCCTTCCCACAAATTAGTTTGTGGTAATGCAATTTCTTATCTGTGCAGCATTACATCTGAAACAAGGTAAACTGTAAGATTCTGTGATGGATAATGTTTCAGTTATTACTATGTTTACTCTGTCTGGGTTAAATGGGACAACAAACTACAGAGTTACTCTCTTTGCGCTCACTTTGCTGTGTTATTGTCTGATTTGGTTGGTAAATGTGACCATTATTGTGACAATTATTATGGACAAAAGCCTTCATGAACCCATGTACATCTTCCTCTGTAATCTGTGCATCAATGGACTTTATGGGACAGCAGGATTTTATCCCAAATTTCTCATGGATCTTCTATCCACCACTCATGTAATCTCTTACGCTGGATGTTTCCTGCAGGGTTTTGTGTTGCACTCTTCAGTCTGTGCTGATTTCTCTATTCTAGGCCTAATGGCCTATGACAGATATGTGGCTATATGTCGACCTCTGGTATACCACTCTGTGATGACTATACAAAGAGTTTGTGTGTTTTTGTTTTTAGCTTGGCTTGTTCCATTTTACCTGTTGTTCCTGAGCACAATAACCACATTAAGATCGAGGTTATGTGGCTCACACATACCTAAAATCTACTGTATTAATTTTTTGATTGGTAAACTAGCTTGTTCTGCCTCCATAGCAAATGTTATTGTTCCAGCTTTTAATTATACTTTTGGTTCTGGCCTTGTTATTTTTGTTGTTTGGTCTTACATATATATAATCAGAACATGTTTAACATCCAAAGAGAACAGGAGTAAATTTATGCAAACATGTTTGCCACATTTATTCTGTTTAATTCTTTTTTTTGGATCTCTGGCTTTTGATCTATTATATGTGCGATTTGGGTCAAAAGATATATCACAAAGTGTTGAGAATTTTATGGCAATAGAATTTCTTGTTGTCCCTCCAATAATAAATCCCCTGATCTATGGTTTCAAATTGACACGAATAAGAAATCGAATTCAAAGTTTTATGTGTGGTAAAAGTTCAGTTTTTAGACAAAAGTCATGAGTTGGTCTGCAAAGATAAAAATCTGTGTATGTATGTGATTTGGGAAAAATATCTAAATCAATCTAACAATATAGTATTGTTGTGTCAGTAGACAATGTGACATTTATACATAACCACCATTCCAGGTTGTATGATATAAAAGTGCCAACACAGCACTTAAAGAATGAAAGAAAGCAATTTAGTTTGAACAGTCTGTGTCAATTATGTTTTTAGCCATATGTTCCTTTCAATAAATCTGATCATAAAATGTATAGCCTACATTTTACATAGCTGTGTTTCAAAACTTATCTTACATGAGTTGTGGGGAATTAAAAGAGAAAGTGATGCAAGGAATTAAATTTCGGAAAATAAAGAGTAGGTATGTGCATTTCTATTAATGAGACTGATGCGATATAAATCTCAATGCATTGCCAATGTGATATGATACAATGCACCCCAATTGCAAAGCAGTGCAATTTGACACAGTTGGATTTAACACGATACAAAATGATATGATCCTATCCAATTCAGTATGGTACATTGATTTTATTACTATTATTATTACTTATTATTACTTCTATACACAACAAACCGTAGATTAATTTAAAATGTATATTTCACATCTTTGTTTCTATTACCACAACTAAATAAGCACTAATTTGTGCTTCTTCTTTTTTTACCTCTAAAAAAATACAACAGATTTAAAAAAAAAAAACGGCCCCTGGACCTAGCCTTGTTTTAAATTGTATAAAGGTAAACTATTATTGACAGTTACAGACTGCTGTAAACACTAGTCTCATCATCATAACACCTCACACCCAAAATCCTTAGATACAATCTAAAGATGACATCTAGACAACTTTTGATATGTTGAACAAATGTATGCCTCAATGGCTGTTAAACAACAAAGACAGAAAGAAATAACATTATGCACAAAAAGGTGTCATGACCCGGCATGTGAGCCATGATAAACAGCGGGAGATACAGGTTTATTACTTAACATACAAGAACCCAAAAAACATACTAAAGTTACATGGTGTGTTAATATCACTGTGTCAGCAGACGGATTAGTGAGTAGGTAGTCAATGGATGTTGTATAATATAAACGGACTAAGACAGCCACCTCCTAAATACTGCTGGAAACTGGCCAGGTGCTCCCAATTGCACTGATGAACTCCTACCAAAGACCTGCAACACCATAAACCTAATTTCCCTCATTGGTCTGAGTGTCATTTTCTACAAGCCTTATATCTCCTTGGACCCATGCCGGTATAATAGTCAAGATTAATTTGTTACTTTTGGGATACTTTGCCTTCAAAATTGATTTCATAAATAAAACAGACAATTTATTCTGATTTAGACATTGTGTTTAAACAACACTGAAATTAGTCTCAAATTTGGCGTCCAATTCGGCAGTTACAGGGAAAGTTAAGGGAAATTTTCTTCACCCTTTTCTGCAACTCTGGTCAATGCTACTTGGACTGCAAATGGAAACCAGAATGCTTCTGATACAAAATTCATATGCTGTTTCAAAGTCAAAGTCAAAGTCAGCTTTAATGTCAATTCATCACATGCACCAGACATACAAGGAATCAAGAGGACATTTCTCATTCACCCACGGTGAAACAGATAAAGTGCACAGGCACATATATTTATAGATGCATCTACATGTTCATGCATCCACACACACTTGACGTCCATGCCAAATTTCAACCTTCAAGGGCGGAAACTGCAGCCGTCAAAGGGTGGGGAAATTTTTGTGGACGAACCGTCGAACCAACCTACTGAATAAATAATTTACAGTGCAATGGAAAAAATCAGGAAGTTTCTGCAAGTTAGTTTTCATACTGGAAAGAAATGCATGCAAACTAAAGTAGGACAGCATATTAAAAATCTGAAAACCAAGGGTAGTCTTTAGGGCTGACACCTTGTGGTCAGTTGGTCGGTTCTTTGGTCAATATGCTGTCATCTGACCAAAATCTCAGTGGTCTTTAGTAAAGAAAAGTCTCTTCATCTGTTATTTCAGGGAAAGAGGAACATGTGCAAACCTGATGTATGTTAGAAATAACATACAAATGTGCTACTGTTTTAATAATCTTATGGTTTAATAGACAATAACACCTATAAGTCAAAATGTCCCCGTTTTCACAACTTCAACTGGCAGCCTGGAGACTATAGGACTTAACTTACTGAACATTTACTGAACTCCAAACTAACTGACACATTGTCAAATAACCAGCAAAAATATTTACTTCAGAGCCAGCCTCAGAGGACAGAAGAGCTGGTTGGATTTACTTTATTTTTGATGGCAAGAGATGTGTACAATTTACTACGGAATGCTGTAGAGCAAAAATGGCTCTTAATGGGATAGTAACAAAGAATAAAGCTCAGTGACGGATTAATAACGTGTCTGTGACGTGACTTCAAACTTGGAAGCTGTAAGTTTTGTCACATTTTATGCTGTTTTTAGTTGTTTACCCTGCTGAACTTTGCTTTAGCACGTTGCTAAGTGGCTACTGCCTCAAGCTGTAGGATTTTGTAACATTAATATTGTAATATTAACGGACAGTAAAGAGAAACTGTGTTAGCGCTTAGTCTTATTTGAGACATCTGAGACAACAAAATAACGCCAGTAGTAGGCTTTATACTGTGTTAGCTTTATTGTTGATTGGATTGTTTGAATTCCCATGTTCGCAGGTCATTATCTGTTGCTACCATGAAACTATATGAACTCAGGCTGTTCGACAGATACAGAGCTGGATGACCTTTTTAGTAGCGTTTGCGAATGCAATTTCCTTGTTTTGGATTTTTAATGACATAGAAAATTGTATAATTTTTTATATGATGGATAATGTTTCAGTCATTATTATGTTTACTCTGTCAGGGTTAAATGATATAGCAAACTACAGAGTTACTCTGTTTGCTCTCACTTTGCTGTGTTACTGTGTGATTTGGCTGTCAAATGTGACCATTATTGTGACAATCATTATGGACAAAAGCCTTCATGAACCCATGTACATCTTCCTCTGTAATCTGTGCATCAATGGACTTTATGGGACAGCAGGATTTTATCCCAAATTCCTTGTGGATCTTCTATCCACCACTCATGTAATCTCTTATGCTGGATGTCTCCTGCAGGGTTTTGTGTTGCACTCTTCAGCTTGTGCTGATTTTTCTCTTCTAGTGCTAATGGCCTATGACAGATATGTGGCTATATGTCGACCTCTGGTATACCACTCTGTGATGACTACACAAAAAATTGCTGTGTTTTTGTTTTTCGCTTGGCTTATACCCCTTTATTTGGTGTTCATAGGCATAGTTACAACATTAAACTTGCAGCTTTGTGGCTCACACATACCAAAAATCTACTGTATTCATTATTTGATGCGTAAACTAGCTTGTTCTGCCACCATAGCAAATATTATTGTTCCAGCTTTTAATTATACTTTTTATTCTGGACATTTTATTTTTGTTGTTTGGTCTTACATATATATGATCAGAACATGCTTAACATCCAAAGAGAACAGAAGTAAATTTTTGCAGACATGTTTGCCACATTTGTTCTGTTTAATAGTTGTTGTTGGATCTTTGCTTTCTGATTTGTTTTTCACAAGATTTGGGTCAAAAGATATATCACAAAGTGTCGAGAATTTTATGGCAATAGAATTTCTTGTTGTCCCTCCAATTATAAATCCCCTGATCTATGGTTTCAAATTGACACGAATAAGAATTCGAATTCAAAGTTTTATGTGCAGTAAAAGTAACGTTTTAAGACAAAAGTCATGAATTAGAAAAATCAGTTTGTTGTGATTTACCAGAAATATCCATTAAATCTAACAATATAGTATTGTTGTATCAGTAAACAATGAGACATTTATACATTACCACCGTTCCAGGTTGTACAGTACAAATATACCAATACAGGACTTAAGCAACATGGAAAGCAGGCCAACTACATTTATTTGATGTTTAATTTATTTGACTTGATGTTTCAATGTTTCTCCAGTCACATCACATTTAATGTATTGTCAGCCATATGATGCTTCCAATAAGTCTGTACCTGATCATAAAATATGTACCTTGTTTCACACAGCTGTGTCTCTAAACTTATTCTGCATGAGTTGTTGGGTACTGAAAGAGAGAGAAAGTGAGAAACCTTTCAAGTAAAAAAGCAGCAGTCACAAACACAATGTAGAAAATCACACATTCAAAAGTATTTATCCAGTGTCTCTGTTGTACAACAATCTGAAATCATGAAGTAATTGCAAGATTTTCTGAGGCAGTGATTTAGCTAAACAAAAAAAAACAGCCATCCCAACTATTGAAACATTCATTATTTACTTCCCTGTTAAAAACTCAAGTCACAGTCAAATATACTCATACTGTAATACTACTTTTTTTTTTATCAAAATGTACCTAATTTTCTTGCCCCACTTGCATTTCAAAAGCACATTTATAAAAAACCCAGGGTAGAGGGAGGTCTGGTTTTCAGCATTACTGGGCCTGTGTTCTAGCAGAACTTTATTCTGAGGGAAAGATTAAGCATTAGTAATGATTTAATTGTCAACCCTATTATTTTATGAAGGTGACCAAACGCACATATTGCTATTGCGTATCCCATCAAGGAGTAAACTGATGACCCCTGACTAAGTGATGTATTTAATTTAATATTTCATATTATAGTCAATGCACAATAACAGTACAGAACAACTGAGAAACTGTATAATGAACCCAAACGCAGTAACTGCAGAAAGTTTGTGTCAAAGTAGCGTGAATTTATCAGATAATAATAATTATAATTTAGGAACAATTCTCTGTCTGTATTTTGTACTTTTTAAAGTTATCTTCTGCCTGAAGCTTGGCCATTGTTCTGTTTGGTTGTTTTATCTGTGTACTTTTTCTAATGTAGAATGAGGCTGTTAGACAAAAAGTGAAGGCTCTGTGAATATAGTTCGTCTTCAGGTCTTTAAAGTTTAGATCGTAAATATAATCTAAACAATTTAATTTGAGTTTCTTTACATAAATGAATGAAATGAGGTATAGGTCCAGTGTGTATATTTTTTAAGTTGTCTTACATTCATGAAAAACAAGAAGGCCTCGCGACCCCCTGTGATGCTTTGTCAAGTGTAACGTCATACACTCCACCATCGTGAGACTGGAAACACAACATCCAGACGCATTCATCGCCATCTCTGGGGATTTTAATCACGTCATACTGGACTCCACACTGCCAGACTTTCACCAGTTTGTAAGCTGCCCCACTAGGAAGAACAGGACATTAGACCTCCTGTATGCCAACTCGAGGGAAGCTGACATTGCCACTCCTCTGCCCCCACTGGGAAAGTCTGACCATACCCTGGTCCTGCTCACGCCACAGTACAAACCACAGATCCAGAGACAGTCCACGACCAAACGCTCCTTCAGGAAATGGTCTCCTGAGGCAGCAGAGGCTCTGAGGCAGTGCTTTGAATGTGCTGACTGGAGCATCCTGCAGAAGACACATGGTGAGGACATCGAGGGGGTCACACACTGCACTACTGACTACCTGAACTTCTGCATGATGTTGTGGTTCCCACTAGAACTGTACACTGCTTCCCCAACAACAAGCCCTGGATCACCAGTAATGTCAAGGACATCCTGAACAGGAAGAAGACAGTTCAACACCCCTCCCCACCACCATCACCAAGGATCAGGTGAGCAGAAAGCTGAGGAGGCTTCGTCCAAGGAAAGCAGCGGGCCCGAACAAAGTGTGTCCAAGCATGCTTAAAGCCTGTTCTGCTGAACTGGGGGAGCCACTCCAGCATGTCTTCAACCTGAGCCTGCAGCTGGGGAGGGTCCCAGTGCTCTGGAAGACTTCATGTCTCATCCCGGTTCGTAAGAAAAAACATCCCAGGGAGCCAGGTGACTTCAGACCAGTAGCACTGACATCACACATTATGAAGACCTTTGAACAGCTGCTGCTCCATGTCCTCAGACCCCAGGTCCACCACGCACAAGATCCACTGCAGTTTGGATACGAGGAGTAGGTGGGCGTGGAGGATGCCATCCTCTATCTGCTCCATAGGGCCTACTCTCATCTGGACAAGGAGAGCGGTGCTGTGAGAATTGCATTTTTTGATTTCTTCAGCACCTTCAACACCATCCAGCCGCTCCTGCTAAGAGACAAGCTGGCAGAGATGAGGGTGGACCCACTCCTGGTGACATGGATTACGGACTACCTCACGGAGAGACCACAGTACGTCAGACTGAAGGGCTGCACGTCAGCAGCACCGGAGCACCACAGAGGACCGTGCTCTCTCCCTTCCTCTTCACCTTGTACACATCTGACTTCCAGTATAACTCCGGGCTCTACCACATGCAGAAATACTCGGATAATACTGCGATAGTTGGCTGTATCAAGGATGGATGGATGGGACGGACCACATTATCCTTACCTCTTCTATTCACGCTGTCTTTCTGAGTTTGCCCAAAAAGTGGCATTCTTCATTCACTGTAGCCACCTCAGCATCCCTGCCAGCTAACAACAAACCTGTCGGTCCCAGTCTTCGAGCCTCTAGCCTGCATCCCAGTCAGCTAGCTTCAGAATCTTTAGCCTCTGATCTCAAAGTCAGCTAGCCTTGTGATTCACAGTTGACCATCAACACAGAGCTGCACAGCACCACAGACCCTCCTCTCCCCAGCACAGCTACTAACTACCAGCCAGAACCCTGTGCAGCAACTTCTGCAATTCAGTCAGATAGGTCGGCTGTCAATGAGCACATTTAAATGTCGGTAATTGCGTAATTTAATTATAAAAAGTAATATTTACATTTATACATGACGTTACATTTTTAGTTACTCTAGTAGTAGTAGAATTACATTAACCTGTTACTCCCAAGACTGCTGCCAACACCCAACCACATCGTCAGTGGGCCGATGGATTGGGCCATGTTCACATGCTCATTATCTGTTGCTCTTATGAAAGGATATAAAGTGATATCATACTGACAGTTCAGGCTGTTAGGGACAGAGAGACACAGAGCTAGATGTCCATTTTAGTAGTGTTTCCAAATGCAATTTCCTTTCTCTAATGCGGTAGAATAGTTGTTTTAGATTTTTAATGGTTGTAGTTGTATTGTAAATATGGATAATGTTTCGTTTACTATGTTTACTCTGTCAGGGTCAAGTGACATAACAAACTACAGAGTTACTCTGTTTGCTCTCACTTTGCTGTGTTACTGTGTGATTTGGTTAGTAAATGTGACCATTATTGTGACAATCATTGTGGACAAAAGCCTTCATGAACCCATGTACATCTTCCTCTGTAATCTGTGCATCAATGGACTTTATGGGACAGCAGGATTTTATCCCAAATTCCTTGTGGATCTTCTATCCAACATTCATGTAATCTCTTATGCTGGATGTTTCCTGCAGGGTTTTGTGTTGCACTCTTCAGTCTGTACTGATTTCTCTCTTCTAGTGCTAATGGCCTATGACAGATATGTGGCTATATGTCGACCTCTGGTATACCACTCTGTGATGACTATACAAAGAGTTTGTGTATTTGTGTTTTTTGCTTGGCTTATACCCCTTTGATCATTAAGGGGTTTGAAGAGAATGATTTCATATCATTTTCTGGATTTTACAGGGAACCAGAGCAGAAAAGCTAATATGGGAGAAATATGATCTATTTTCTTAGTTATTGTCAGTACACATACCAAAGCATTCTGGATCAACTGGAGAGTCTTGAGGGACTTACCGGGGCAGCCTGATAATAAGGGATTGCGATAATCCAGCCTAGAAGTAACAAATGCATCAACTAGTTTTTCAAGCATACAGATGACCTTCAACAATAAATTCATTTATGATCCCAATTTGCATTTCTTAAATATTCTATTGATAATTTACAATAAGGTTAAATTAAACGTCAGTCTTTGATGCAAGCATTCATTCGAATAAGAATAATTTATAATTGTAATTTCTCTTGTTTAAAGTCTGATACTTATGCTCTTAGGTACAAATACATTTCGCCCAGTGATGACTGTGAAAATTATTTAGGAAGTTTTATCTAAGCACAGGGCAGTCAACTTCCAAAAGACACTTTTCATGTACTTGACTGAACACAGACTGTATGAAGTGCAGATTTGCCAAAGTAAAAGCCAGGCGTCAGGTGTGTTTGGGGCCAAGTACAACAACCAGAAAAAGAAATGAGTATGCAATTCAAATGAAATACACCTTTAGGCTGGAGGTTAAAACAATTCAAATTAGAAATCAAATCATTTATACAGAAATAAATAACTTAAATACATGCAGTGCTGAAATTAAAAACCCTCAAAAGGATTAACTGCTGCAAAACTAGCAACAGTAGCATGAATAAAACCCAACATATTTACCAAAGTAATGCAAATATGATCAGAAGTTCCCTCACCACTGATTGTTTCTTTTTCTAGTTTTTCCTATTTAAGCAAGGATCGCTTGAATTGTTTGGAGTTGTCTCGAGTTTGACCCGGATATTTATACTTTTATGTGTTTTTTTAAATATCATTACATGTTCACAAATTTCATTATATTAAATTAGTTATAGTGTTTTTTTAACCTTTAACCTGGGATTTGATGGTCAGTGGTGTGAAATGAAGTATTAACATCTAACAAGTGCATTAACAAGTCCTTTTTTATTATTATTTATTAGCAGGCTTTTGCCAGTGCTGACTCTCTGCTATGATTCCTGTTAAATCAAACAAGTCACACAAACTGATCAGCGACTACTTTCTCTGGATGAAGAGTGGGCTTTCCCAGAAGTGGTTAAATTAAACGGCTACTTTACAGGACTGTCTTACATAACCTGGTAATAAATGCAGATTGATCAAAGTGCTAACTAAAGGTAAATCTTCTTTAAGCAGCCTAACCTGGGGCCTAACAGACAGGTCTTAGATGAAGTAATCATTAGTGTCATTAATCAGTGTTGATGCTGGTCAAAAAAAATAGCTGGTTGTTTTGATCACCTCTATGCTAAAAGAGTAAACAGAGTTTGAATTCTCATGTGTGTTAGTTGTCGTAGCCAGAGCTTTACTAATAGATGTACAGGGAGAACAGCGTTCAACCCTTTACTCTGTGACTATTTACGCTGTGACAGTGGGAAAGAAGAACTCAAAGAGACAGACACTCAACGGTTATGGATAATGTTTCTGTTGTAAAGATTTTCCGCCGTCTGTATGTTGTATCACAGCACAGGTAGAATTTAATTTAATTGGTGACAGTTTTTCTCTGATCATGGAAAATGTTTCTGTTGTAAGAATTTTCACTCTCTCAGGTTTAAATGAGACAGTAAATTACAGAGTAACTCTCTTTTCACTCACTTTACTGTATTACTGTGTGATTTTGTTTGTCAATATCTCTCTCATCATGATTATCATCTTAGATGAAAACCTGCATGAACCTATGTACATCTTATTGTGTAGTTTTTGCATTAATGGACTTTATGGGACCTCAGGTTTCTACCCTAAATTCCTCTTAGATCTACTGTCTAAATCTCATGAAATCTCATATGAAGGGTGCCTTTTACAGGCTTTTGTCATGTACTCATTTGCTTGCTGTGATTTGTCTATTCTAGCTGTTATGGCCTACGACAGATATCTGGCTATATGTCGACCACTGCACTACCACTCGTTGATGACTAAGAAGAGGCTCTCTCAGCTCATATGTTTCTCCTGGTTAACACCTTTCTGCCTTTTCTCCATCAATGTTGTGTTAACGTCAAGACTAAAGTTATGTGGTGCAAGCTTTCGCAGACTGTTATGTTTGAATTGGTTAATTGTTAAACTTGCGTGCCCTGATGCTGACACCTTTTCAAACAGTGTAGTTGCATATATTATAATTTTCACATACGTGTTGCATGTGTTTTTCGTAATGTGGACTTACATGCATCTTGTTATAACTTGTGTGAGGTCCAAAGAAGACAGGGTGAAGTTTATGCAGACATGTGTGCCCCATTTAGTCTCTTTAATCACATTCGCAATTACAATGGTTTTTGATTTGATGTACATGCGATTTGGCGCCACAGCTTTACCTCAAAGCGTTGAAAACTTCATCGCTATAGAATTTCTGCTCATTCCCCCTATTATGAATCCTCTAATATACGGATTTAAACTGACCAAAGTACGAAATAGAATTCTGGGTTTATTTTATGTTGAAAGAAAATGACATTTTTGATTAAATTTCATCTCTAATTCAATTTAATGTAACAAACAAAAGCCAATGTTTTTGCCTTAGGATATATCATGATCTCTGCACTGTCACCTGTTATTCCTGTTGTACATGACTGATAAATCCAGGCTTCAGTATGTTGCCTAACAAAACATTTAACTTGACACTTTTTGTTAAAGACCAACCAACATATTTAATTTGTTTTATATATTTGTTATGCTGCATGTGATGTGGGAATAAATTGACATTTTTAACTTCCATGTTGTAATGCATTTAAGAGTATTAGAAACCATGAATTTGTACAGACAATTCAAGGGACACAGCGTCTGTTAAGCACATTCTCCTTCCCCTGCAATCTCTCGTCTGACACCTGATATTCCCCTGAGAGAGACTGGTTGTGATGAGAACAGTTCATTCGGGAATATCCTGATGTATAAAACAATTGACAGTAAAGACACTGACAAGATATTGGCAGACAGGCTGTGGGTCTAATGTGTGGCCTCTGTTACGGTTCAGTAACATGTTGGGTACAAATTGACAGCAGTTCTGAAATATCTGAAATAATAAAAGAAGAGCATCGTTTGGGTGGCCTGTAGACTATCATACACAGTAAAGGAGGACTTGTAATCTACAGGTTGATATCACTGCTGACTGCATTGTAATCTTGTCGCAGTGCCCTGATGGCACCCTATCAACAGGACTGCGTAGTTCGATTTATTCTGTGACTGTAAGAGTTTTTGAAGGCACTAGCAAACTGTTCATTTATCCACCTTTCTTAATGAAAGCCAAGAGTCATAATTTATTCACAGCCAGAGGTTCTTGTCAGGTAAACTTTAGTAGTTTTAGCATTTGAACAAACAAAGTGGCTGTCTGTTTGCTTGGGAATCGGCTCTGACGTGACGATCCTGATCGTTTTTCCTCTAAATTAATTACATAATAAAGACATTTTTATCTTGTTACAAATTTGTCCCCAGTAACGTTATGAATTGCTACATACTGATATAATTACATTTGTGATTAATTATGATTTTGGTAAGTGTTCGATATTCTGCTGAGGTTCCATATATACCCCTTTCTCAGTTTTTTTTAACTCTTACATCTCTTTATTCTCTGCTTCTTGATTGTTTTTCCATTCTTTATTGTTTAAATTAACGTTAGCAAGTAAGTCAGTTATCGTTGAAATATCACTAGTTCACCAGCAGCAATGAATTTATATGTCATGTACAGTGTTTCCTCTATGTTGATTTTGGAGCGGCAGCTTGCCACTGTAAAATTTCTGCCACCACGGTATCAGAAATGGGGCAGACGCACAATGTAGTCACGGTTGCCTTTTAAATTATCCTGCCGACATAATGCACCCCCTTTGGCTGCCGCTCACATTGCAATTTAACAACGAGTAGAACTATTCAGAGGTTATTGGGGCTGTCCAGTTTAACTCCACATACTGTTGTGTTGATGTAGCTTATTGTCAAAACGTTCACTTTCTTCCAAGTCGACTCTTAAACTAAAAGCTCCACCAAAAACGTCACCGTGCTGGGTACGTTTTAATTGGACAACGTTCAACTTGTCAGTTCTCAGCTCAACGTCCTGATATCAAACATCTGGAAACATTAAAACGGTAAATATATTTGTTTGTGTTGCAGCAAAGTGTCACTTCTGTTTCATACGTAAAACGTTTGCCGGGGAGGGGGGGTGTTCGGACGGCTGTGATGATGTACATGCGATTTGGCTCCATGGATTTACCTCAAAGCCTTGAAAACTTCATCGCAATAGAATTTCTACTTATTCCCCCTATTATGAATCCTCTAATATATGGATTTAAACTGACCAAAATACGAAATAGAATTCTGGGTTTATTTTATGTTGAAAGAAAATGACATTTTTGATTAAATATCATCTCTTATTCAATTTAATGTAACAAACAAAATCCAATGTTTTTGCTTTAGGATATATCATGATCTCTGCACTGAATGTCACCTGTTATTCCTGTTGTACATGACTGATCCTGGACCAGGCTGCAGTATGTTGCAAAGCATTTTAATATCTTGCTCCTGCATGTAATGCATTTAAGAGTATTATAAACCAGGAATTTGTACAGACAATTCAAGGGGCACGGCCTCTGTTAAGAAAAAGAGCACATTCTCCTTCCCCTGTAATGTCTCAGCTCCTCAATCTGATGTTTTCTATCAGTTCATCATATTAAACAGTACAACACACATATACTTATACACTTTGACTATACACCTGAATTAACCTGACCAGAAGATGTGTTGAATAACAAGAATATATATTTATTTTATTGTCACGCAGCATCACATTGTACAGTTATTGTTATATTAAAAAGCAATCTAATTTAACATTGGGATTTAATCTAAATCTAAAAACTGAATATTATTTTTACAATCCACAACAATATGTATTGGAAGTTTAACTCAATTTAGAGAGACAAAAAATTAAGTTTTTGGAGATAAAGTGAGTGAAAATAAGTTCCTTAATATTTATAATGATCCTCCCACTGGCTGGCTGCTGCTTTAAAAACAGCTTTGCAAAGAAGCTTACTTGGTTCTTGGTAAATATCAATTTTATATAGCAATCACCATACTTTAACACCTGGAAATAATTGCCTGATTAGGACCTGGTATGATCAAAATAATCCTGTTTTTCAGTCCAGTCAAGATTTGTTATTCTGCATCTGGCCTTAATACAGAGCGAAATGTGCACACAGATACCTTTCTGCAAGGCAAGCATTTGGAATACCTAATTACACTGTATTGCACTGAATTTACCAGTAGAAAGTATTTTCAACTAGCTACAGTAAATATCTGCAAGCATGCGTGTTAACATTTAAGTAAAGAGGCTAAAGTAAGCTAGCTAGGGAAGGAGCCTTTTAGGATGTCATCGTTGTACAACAGGCCATCGAGCATTGGCAGGAGGAAAGAAAATAAAATGTTGGCCTTTCATAGTAAGTAAATGGAATTCAGCCATTATTATAGACTACATCATGAAGCTCATTGAGAGAAGGCCAAGGGTTTGCAGCGCTGTCAACAAAGCAAAGGGTGGCTACATTGAGGAATCTAAAATATGAAACATATTTACAGTTATTTCACACTTTTGTGTTTACTACATAATTCCATGTGTTCATTCATAGTTTTGATGCCTTCAGTGAAAATCTACAATGTAAATAGTCATGAAAATAAAGAGAAACCATTAAATGAGAAGGTGTGTCCAAACGTTTGACTGGTAGTGTATATTTTTAATGATGTGTTGGGTCTTGGTCAGAACGAGTTTGATCAGAAGATTGTGTCCAACATACGAATTTCTAAGTCCAAATTATGTCTAAAGGTTATTCTCCTTCAGGTGGAAAAATAACAACCAGGATTCATCAAAGTTGGCAGTAGATTAGAGCTTTATTATCTTAACAGACAAACAAAGCCCGAGCCATCCATTGAAAGACTGAATTCAACCTCACAAAGCTTCTCCTTATATACTCTTGCACTCTGTCACAAGTCCAGCCCATCTTCTACCTTTCCAACCTATGACATAATAGTGTAAATTCCCTCTGGAAAGACCCTAAAATTCCAACAACCTGTGGCTTTTTCGGTTCTACTAGTGTCTTATCAGTCCAATTATCCTGCACCTGTTGGGCCCATGCTCCATTCTACTGGTGTCTCGCTCGCCTAATTATCCTGCACCGTCAGGCCTATGTTCCTATCATAGAACCCGCACATTTTATTTTTTACTCTCCTTTCTTCAGGATTACACCATTAGAATCTAGTTTACTGTACTTCTGTTTTTTAAAAAACATTTCTTACCTTTTCCTTACACCATTATGTCACAGATGTCCTTTACTGTATTTTTTAAAAACTTTATAAACTTATAATCAATCAATCAATAATATGATAACAAACTTGTGTTACAAACACACACATACATTTGGTATAATCAGTGCTCGTTTTTTTGCTACAACTACACAGTCTGTATGTTCCACACATTAAATCAAACTGTTACCAAAAAACCATGGTGCTTACTACTTCATCAACAGTATTTGTGCTTATCATGAAATCACAAACTTAAAACATAATGCCTTTATTAACATCCTTGTGAGCTTATATAAATCTATTCTACTTAACACTCTAAATCATTATTACTTAAAACATAGTGCTCTCTACTTGATTTCCAGTTATCTGTGTGAACAAACCATAGTGCTTACAACATAATATCCATACTTTTGTGTGATTAATTGATTACTAACTTATAATATGCACTAACCTACACTAAATGTTATACTACAGATGAACAGATGAATCTGGTAGTTGTTGTAATTATTCCTCCACGTGTTACTGGACCAATGATCAGAGTTTGAATTCCCGACTGATTTGCTGTCGTACTCAAAGCTGTTATTAATAGCTGTGACCAGAGACAGAGTAGCAGAGTGTCAGCCTTCACTCTGTAACCGCCGTCTGTATGTTGTATCACAGCACAGGTAGAATTTGAAGATTTAATTGGTGAAATTTTTTCTCCGATCATGGAAAATGTTTCTGTTGTAAGAATTTTCACTCTCTCAGGTTTAAATGAAACAATGAATTACAGAATCACTATCTTTTCACTCACTTTACTGTATTACTGTGTGATTTTGTTTGTCAATATCTCTCTCGTCACGATCATTATCTTAGATGAAAACCTGCATGAACCTATGTACATCTTATTGTGCAGTTTTTGCATTAATGGACTTTATGGGACCACAGGTTTCTACCCTAAATTCCTCTTAGATCTACTGTCTAAATCTCATGAAATCTCATATGAAGGGTGCCTTTTACAGGCTTTTGTCATGTACTCATTTGCTTGCTGTGATTTGTCTATTCTAGCTGTTATGGCCTACGACAGATATCTGGCTATATGTCGACCACTGCACTACCACTCTTTCATGAGTAAGAAGAGGCTCTCACAGCTCATATGTTTCTCCTGGTTAACGCCTTTCTGCATTTTCTCCGTCAGTATTATACTAACATCTACACTGAAGTTATGTGGTTCAAAAATTGAGAAACTCTTCTGTGTGAACTGGGTAATTGTTAAACTGGCTTGCTCTGACACTAACACTGTTGCAAGTAATATTATTTCATATTCAATAATATTCATATATGTGTCTCATGGATTGTTCATAATGTGGACTTACATGCATCTTGTTATAACTTGTGTGAGGTCCAAAGAAGACAGGGTGAAGTTTATGCAGACATGTGTGCCCCATTTAGTCTCTTTATCCACATTTCTTGTTGTAATAGTTTTTGATCTGATGTACATGCGATTTGGCTCCACAGATTTACCTCAAAGTATTCAAAACTTAATTGCAATAGAATTTCTGCTTATTCCTCCTGTTATGAATCCTCTAATATACGGATTTAAACTGACCAAAATACGAAATAGAGTTTTAGGTTTAATCTATGTTGACAGAAAATGACCTCCTTCCATTAAGTTTAAACTCTTAAAGGTAGAAGTAATGTTCTAATGTATAAAATAATCCATATATTATGATTTTGTTGAGGACTGCAGGCCTCAATACTAACAATGTGTTTAACTTGTACCTTTTTGATGATGTGTTATGCTTTATGAAATGTGAAATAAATACATGCAGTCCTGTAACATTTAACTCTTGTATCAGAGCTTTTTGTAAATATAATTAATGGAATATTTGTTACTGCACAGCCATGATATGAGTCATTTTTTGGGGCTCCTCTGACATTAAACAACTGCTTTCACAGGCTGAGTAGTCAACATAACTATTGATTTTTCTGTGTAAAATGTGTGGAGACATATTTATCTCTTCATGCACATTTTCCAAGTAAAGACACACCTGAGCTCTGTTAGTGTCTGACTCCAAACCTGTAGCCACCCGGGTGGAGCCAGCAAGCACAGAGCCTCCAACTTTTAGCCATGATGGAGTCCAGTCAGCCTCAAGTTGCCACACCTGCTTTGCAGTAGATTCAAAACATGAATCACTGTATTAATAGACCAGGCTGACATCCTAGCAACAATATTATTAATATCAAGTATCTTATAGGGTGTACCGGAATCTGAATACCTTATTCAAGTTTTAAACTCTACTTGATTAAATGAACCAAATAAGTCAAACAGATCCATTGTGAACTGGCCAATACACACTGAAGAAGGCCGTCTTGTCCAAAACATCTGTGTGGCAAAATGAAAAGTTGAATGGAAGTTCTTTGCTCATGAAATGATCCCCAGGCCACACAGGCCAAATTTACTAGTAGCCTATTTAATTTATTTATTATCTATTTAAATCAAGATTTTGTGATCACTGATTTTCTGTAACATTTTCCACTACCTTAAGCTTGTTAAAAGTACAATTATGTACACATTTTTCCTGCTTCTAACACATCACTTGATGACAAAATGTTCACTTGCTGTATCATACATCCCACCCACTGACAGGAGCCATGATAACAAGATAATCAGTATTATTCACTTCACCTGTCAGTGGTCATAATGTTAATGGGATAATGGGACATTTCTAATATGTATTCTTCTGATACTTTAATTATAGCCGATAAATTATTGGTCCATAATAACAATAATAGAACATGAAGACTCAAACGCTTTGCATAACAGTTTAAAATTCTTAATGTCACAATATGAACTATGTAAAATAAACAAATATTTGAAGAGTCAGAACTGTTTGTTTTTTGTTGTTAACAATAGTGAGACGACATATTAACCTCCAGTCATGAATGAATGAAATCCTGTTTTAATGATGCTCTTCAATATCCAGACAGTTTTAGGGAACAGTGGGGTTGCTCTCTTGTTCAATCATTTCCAAACATCTCTAGATTTTCAAAATCTGAACAAAAACTAAACTCTAGACCAGGGTTAGGCAATCTGCAGCTCTTTAGCTCCTCTCTTGTGGCTCCCTGTGGCTTTAACAAAAAATTGTTGAATGTTTTACAATTGTAAAAATGTGATGCCATTACACAGACTGTCATGTACGTCATACATTACGTCCTGAGCTGGTGTCTTCTTTTACCGAACCTCAATAGTGGTGGTTTCCTGCTCACCGGTATGTTTGATCCCCAGGGGCCAGCAACCTTCACTATCAAAAGAACTATTTTTGGCAAAAATAAATGAATAAAATCAGTCTGGAGCAGTAAAACACATTTGAGCCTTTATAATGCAGTTTCTCGCTGCAGATCAAGCATATCAATTCTATTTTTGGATTTTGGAATCTATAGCCAGCTAGGGAGACTAAAGACTAGTAGCCACCGCAATCTGCAACTTCACCACTAGATGCCACTGAATCCTGCACACTAGCCGCTCTGTAGCTTTAAAAGGACCAAAGAGCCATGTGGCTCTGCAGAATGAAATGAACAAAAACAATATTAATACAAATTGCTGAAAAAATGAAATGGCTCTGTCAATGTGTGTATTTATGTGGAGGAAAATAAATGGACTATGGCGGAACAAATATTCACTTTAAAATCTGTCCACAAGTGCACAACCTGCTCTTTTCAGAAGTCTGTGCATTGAAATATGGTCATAGGTAGTCTCCCCTCCTGGCACTCTGCTAGTAATTAGGATATTTATGTCTCATGGTAGAGACTCACTTTCTATTGGTGTCTGACTCCATTTTCCTGTGCTGGGGCCTGGCTCCTTGGACCAGTAAGCTGCCCAGTAGAGCCCCAGCTGCAGCCCCAACAGCTGACCTGGTGTTCAACCCTGTAGCCACCCGGGAGGAGCCAGTAAGGGCCCCAACTGCAGCTCCGATTGCAGCGCCTCCAGCTCTCAACCATAAGGGAAGCCAGTCAGCTTCCAGTTGCCTCACTTGGTTCGCAGTGTCTGTCTATGGATCCAGAACAAGAATCACTATATTAATATACCAGGTTATCATCCCAACATTCAGTAATATCACACAGTGCTTTAACTGTGTACTTATGTTGTGTGTAGTGATAATGTTTGAATTGAGTTGTTTCAGTTGGGTTAACTGATTGATGTTATCATATTTGCAAGAAGAATCTGTGGACCCAATCTCAGAACCTCCTCCAACCCGACCTGCACAAGTTCATTTTCAAAATATTCTGATCTAAAATGCAGTTATAGAACGACAAAAACGGCCAGTAGCACAAGGCTCAACACATTTATTTGCATATTTTTCTACACTTCCCAGTTGACACTTCTTCACCTGCAATAAGAGCTGATGACTGATACAAGAAACTGACACACAGACCCAAGACAATCACTCAATCACTATACATTGATTTTAAATCAGTAGTAGAGCATATTATGCACATAATACTAATTACTCAGAAGAACACTATCATTGCACATTTGTTCAGGAAGCCATGACTCCTCTCTATTCATTTCAAAATGTTGTTTGCTAAGACTACTAATGTTTTAAATTGTATCAATAATAACCACAAGGCACTCCAATTATACATAAAAGATCTGAAAAGCAGTCTCATTTAGACAGACAAACATGTCTGTGATGTGCAGCGGGATTGTTTGTATTACTATATTATATAGATATAACAAATCTGTTTGGGCTCAATAATTATTTTGTGAAAAATGTCTAAAAGCAGTTTTCACTCACCTTCTCATGTAGCACGATGTCATTATCCAACACTGTCTGCTTTTTTTGTTCTGTCTCTGCAACTTAAAGAGTTTTGTGACATTAACTTATAAACTAACAGTCATTCAGCGTTTATTCATCTAAATGATTACATCAGACTCAGGATCATTTCAGTCTGTGCCACTGAAGTCATACTCACCAGGTTTAACTGCGTGGTGGCTCAATGGCAATGTGAACGCCCATTTTTGTTGTCTACCAATTTCCTCCACTGACTTGAAGTCTTTCATTGTTTTCCTGTGGTAGTTGCCTTCGTTAAAGTACACAGTGTTCATGTCATTTGTTCCGTTTTCTTTTTTCTGATAGTGCCTCTGCATCCCTTCAATTGTGGCTTTCAAAACCTTCTTTGAATCTTCATTTTCTCTCTTTAGCTGTTCAATCGTGTCTTTGAGCTCTTGTGCTTCTCTTGTGTGATTCACCATCATATGGTCCAGCTCTTTCTCTTTCGCCTCATACATTTTCTTCAAGGTTGCTGTGTCTCGCTCTTCTTCTTTCACTCTTTCCTCTAGGACTTCTTTTTCCACCTCACTGCTCTGCTTTGTGGCTTTAATAACATCTTCTTTCACAGCCCACCTTTCACTCAAGCTTGATATCATTCTTTCTTTCCCCATAATGACTTGTTTGAGCCTGTTGTTCTCCCTTTCAGCCTCCTCTAATCTTCTGCAAATATCTTCACAGTCTTTATTTTTCCTTTCTTCAGACTCCCTCTTCTTCTCAATTGTGGCCTTCAGAGCTTCAATTTTTTCATTTTGCACTTCAGCTGTCTTAATAATGTCCTCTACTATGATCTCCTTCTCCTCGACTCTTTGCCTCAGGAGATCATTGTCTGTCTTTGCCTTCTTAAGCTGTCTTGCAACTTTTTTGGAGCTTTGTTGCAGCTTCTTGTGGCTTTCTTGGAGTTTCATGAAACTATGCAACAAGTGTCCGGTATCATTCCTCACCTCAGTTTCCTCAATCTTCTCCAGCAGTTCTCTAGCTTGATTGTCTCCGACCTTGTTTGAGTTATCAAAAACATGATACCTATTTCCGCATTTGTCCACCAACCACTGAAGGGCAGGCCATCTCTCAATGTGCTCCTCAATGGGAGTGACTCCAAGTTTGTCTCCCCAGGTGAACAGCACCATGGTTCGAGTCCACCCCCAAGTTCCGAGCAAGCTCAAGTGTTGCTCCACTTTTAACCGGTCGGTTTCAGTGAAAGTCTCATCGCTGCGTACGACCACCAGGATAGCATGGGGAATGGGGGCACACAGAGATGCACTGTGAGTAATCTGCTGTTGGACTTCCTCTGGAGTGTCCTCTGAGCAGTATCTCCCATGCCAGCTAGGAACATCAACCACAGTGACTCGCTTTTTGTGAACATCACCCAGTCTCTCAGTGCATTGTGATGTTGGATGTCCAGCAGGAAAGACTTCATCACCCAGAATGGTGTTTGCAGCAGAGCTCTTCCCAACCTGCTTCGGCCCCACAATGAGAATCCGAAGCATTGAAATCGGAGGAGACTCTCCTGCGTTAGGAAAAAGCAGGATTTAGGGAATACATTTTCTCAGGATCACATTGTAATCTTGTAAAAAATCGCATGTTTGGAACTTGTTAGCATGCAGTTGCTTATTTACACATCCAGCAGATACAAACATGAGCATTCATTTGGAGTTTAAGTCAATATTCACACTTTTAGCTCAGTTTTTTCGATCCAGTGTAATAAAAGTAATGATTATAGCTGTTTTAAGAGATGCTTACCCATCAGAGATCTGAGTATACTTCTGGTCATCTGCACGTTCATTCGCCTCAGAATCGCCCTGTCTTCTACCTCTTTCCTTTCCCTCTCAGTTATTCTGGAGACTTCCTCATTTGTTGTCACGTAACCAACTCCTCCTGCCTTTATGTTCCCTGCAACCATTGCATCAATCTTCTCAAAAACTTCTGCAACCTGAGTATCATCATCTCTTCCCCAAATGCTTGTGTCTAAAAGGTGGTATCTATGTCCACACCTCTCCAAAACTGCTTCGAGATAACTGCATCTTGCAGCGTAGTCCTCTACAGACAACCCTTTCAGTCTCTCACATCTGGTGAATATTACTATCGTGTTTGTCCACACTGTGTCATTAAGCAGCTCAAGAGGTCCCTCTACTGTCCACTCCCTGCCTCTGTGAGAGCTGATGGGAATGACCATGAGGAAGGCGTGAGGTCCCGGTGGGCACATGTCCATGCAGGCTGACATGTTGTTGTTCACCAGGCCGGGGTCTCGGACAGAGTAGCAGATCCACCTTTCAGGGCTGTTGACTACAATGACTGTTCGGCCATCGTCAAGAACGCCCTGTCTCCTAACACACATCTTTACGTCTCTGCTGATGTCAAACATCTGTCGGCCGAGGATGGTGTTTCCTGTCAAACTCTTCTCCAGCCAGTCGTGACCCAGGAGGACAATCCTCCGCTCCTGAAGACAGTGTTTGTCCCCTGCCAGCAGACAAGATTATTCAGCAGCTGTGCAAATATGTCATCATATCAATGTCCTGATAATGCAGAGGATAAGGCCTTGTACATGCTAATTATGCTGAGAATTGTACCTCAGAAGCAAATAAAGATTATTAGATAAATTAAGATTTATTTACAAAATAATCAAGCTAATCAAGCTAATCAATTTCCAAGATCCACAATTAACTTCCAATCTGAGTTTGAGAAAATGTAATACAATTGAAAGCTGTAGAGCAGTATTGTGAAGTTGTTTTGTTGTTTTCTGAAGTCAAGAATGAACTTTCAATCTCAAGTTGTAAGCCGACATTATTGAAAAAGAAAAATTGACATAATGTAAATGAGTGATGAGAAAAATTTTAATTAATATTCCCAGACAACTGGGCAAACTGAAAAGCAGACAGCTGCTAAATGGACCTTGTTTAGTTAGGTCTGTGTTCTTGTTCTTCTTGCTCTGAAAACTTTATACAACTGTGAAAAACACACAATGCTACTATTCAATTTTAAAGATAAGAGCAGATGTAAGTCAGGAGCATACCTTTCCGTGTCGATCCTCTGCTGCCCACTAAAATCCTTTCTTCCATCTTTTTATTCTGTCAAATACTTTTTCAAAACTGATATTTACATTATATTTTAAATCAGTTTTACCCACACAACAAAGTAACGTGTCATCCTGCACTTTAATGTTTGACTCAGCTTTCTGACAAGTGGTCAAAGTCCTGACAACACAACCAGTCATGTAACTCTCTAGTTATCAGATGTAAGTTATCACACACAGTGAACGTATTTGTAAAAAATGTGTAACTACACTTAGTAAGGATTATATTTAATGCCAGAGTCTGAATTAGTTCAGTTAAGGTACAGCTGTGTGCCGAGTCAATCCAGAAAATCCCCGGTTCTGAGGCGATAGTGTGACAGAAGGCAAGAGGCCACACAGCTCGGTATTATGGGAGGGTTTTACTGCTCCTTAGTGGCTGCTGAGGAGAAGTACAGCCACACTTGATATATCACTCTCAACTTTCCAAAATTACATATATATATATATATATATATATATATATATATATATATATATATACACAACTTGCATGCAGCCACACACTATGAAACTGTGTGACTATAATCAAATGCTTGTGTTTCTGTTTTAAATCCTTAAATTGCCTGATGTTGTTGTGTATTTTCATTAAACACACAATAATTGTTCCATGTTTGTTCATTAAGGACTCATTATCTTATCAGTGTTGCCACTAAGCTGCTGTACTTTTGTGTATGAACTTGAAAACTGAATGAGTCAAATGTAATATTGATTTTTTTTTCTTTTTTTTCTAGCAGTTTTGAGTCTGCAGCACTACGATAATTATGAGGGCAACCTGCTGGCCCAGATATTAGGATTTTACCAGATGTGGTCCACCTGCAGGGTTGAAGACACTGACTTATGACCAGCAGGTCAGAGCAACTTTCTTCTTGTCCCTCGTCCTACAGAGAGAGACCAGCCGGGGTAAAGAGCTCATAGCTGCTAATGACATACAAACAGCCAGCCACTGATGACACACAGGGTGCGTTTGCATCCGTGCATATGATAACAGGAAACTGGCTACATGATAACGTACAATGTGCACATTCTTGTACATATGTTGACTAATGATACAAATCAATAATTTACCAGCAATTAATAAATACTTAATAAAATAATAAATATAAATTATAGATGGTGCATACAAAGTGTGTTTTGGGCACTGCTCTAGCTATATTTGGGTAGGTGGGAAAGTGTAATATTTATTCTATAGCTACATAATTTATTATTCTATATAAATTAGAATTTTTGGTTATTTCATTAGAGATTTCTGTTCTTGTCTGTTCTCTTCTCACTGCTCTGAAATGACTGATTGGTGCCATGAAATACATGACATAACCTTTTTCTAGCAGATTAACATTTGAATCAACATGTCATGACAGTTTTTTCCGAACAACTGCAATAAAATCTGATTAAATCACACCCACACAATCCTGATGACGATTAGATATTTACATTAAACTCCTTTTGATATCATTTATTAACTTTGGTTGTTCCTTATTTAGTCTCAAAAACTCCTAAATTGAAACAAGACATCTTGTTTTCTTTAAAAGCCCCTGAAAACTTAAAGTATAACATTAACAAAAGCAAGAGTCACACTTTTTCAGCTTCCTCAGAAAGCCTTTTTATTCAGGTTCAAATTCAGAGTTAATGCCACAGTTGTTGCATTGCCAGTCTGTAAAAGAGTCCCTGAGTCAGAATTAACTCGATTCAGTGACTGTGCGATAGTGCACATCATGCAAAAAAGTAACTGACTAGAGTAGGAAACCATGATTAATTACAAAGTTGGAAAAAAATGCTTTGTAAGCGTCATCTGTGACTACAGCCTTCTGTCTGTGGCTTTAATAAGAAGAGAGGCATCGCTGAAGGTGTTTACAGCTCCAACCCTGAAAGGTGAGATAGTGTCAAGTATAACCTCTACACTGTACGCCGGAGGGGTAGTAAATCTATGCTCCCAGGGTCCTGAGCTCCATATTAATCTGGGGAACACAGGACCCTTGGAACATGAAACGAACCCCCCTGAAGGACAGCTCGGTTTAAATCTTCTGCTGCTGAAGCTTTTCCCATCAGTGGTACATTTGGTTGTAGCCTGAACGCATTGGCCCGTCATTCAAAAGAGCTATTGCAAAAGAACAGAAGAGCATCTCTGCCAATTCTAAAAGTGAACATCATACTCATTTACATTATGTACATATTTATAGTCTCTGAACATCCAGTCACACATCTTGTGACTGCGTTATCCACAACGTCCTGGGGACATTAAATGGACGATTTGTTCACGGTCATTCAAAAGGTCTACTGCAAAAGAACAGCTAAGTACATCTCTACAATTTCTAAAAGTGAATGTGAATCATTTACCTTTTTTATGTACATATTTTCACAACTTCACACTTATTGACTTCATACTGTATCTTAATGGAAAACTGTGGATGCTGTGATGGATGAAGGATGATGGATGTAAATGTGCCTCTGAAAATGGTTCCGTTGACGGGAGCAGAAAAGATGGGAAGAAGGAAACATGTTCAGTGTGGATTCAGCTACCCCCACTGCCCCCCCAGTATCAGGCTGAGCTATTTTTTCCTTTTATCTGAACTGCTGTGCAAACAGAGAAACTCACACAAATCCAAATAAATCAAAGGAGTAAGAGTTGCTTTGTGATTAAATCCTTTAATATTCTCAAGTGTTTTTTAATCGAAGAAAACAGAAAAATAGCCTTAGAAAACAAAACAAAAGCTGACGCAAGACGTGCCACTAACTGAATTATCTTTAGGATTAAAAAAAAAGGTGTAAATTTGTAACGTTATTTGATTCCATTTGAGACTTCAGAAGAGAAAAAAAACAACAACCACAAGTTACATTTATTGTTTCTTTTACTGAATAAAAAACATCCAGTGTAAAAAGTTTTTCCAAATACTTCCCAGCATCCCTTCTGCTTCTGGAGTATGTTTTTGTTTTTACTAAATGACAGGATGAGTGGAACTGCATTGCCTGATGTGTATGTTGGGATCGAACAGAAAAACAGGATAACAAGCTAATATACTAAAGCTTTTAACAAATGTTTGAGGTAAAACAACTCTTCTTGTAAAAAATGTGAATTGATTTATGAACAGAGCTCTTTGTACACAAGAGCAGACTTTATCCATTCTCATTAATCTTTAATTCTTTATTGTTAAAAACTTTTGGAACAAGCTACTAATCCCAGCAACTCGCTTGCTATACCCGAGGACATCTTTCAACCCTTCACTACCACAGGGGCTCAGTTAGCGTCTACATTTTCACACAAAAAAATTAAGCAGCACTGTCTATTAAGGCTTGCATGAAATCTGTCTGGGTTGAGATATCTCTACAGAAAGAGGAAGTACACAACATACTGCTGCTGAGGAGTGATGACCCCCCCCCCAAAAAAATAAAAATTAAACCAACAACTCAATATGATGAATACTACACGTGGCGCGGGAGGGATCGAGGGAGGGGAGGAGAGAGCAGGCCAAAATATCCCCTCTATGTCTTGCTACCATTGTTTGCATTTGGACCAGGAAATGTGGCTCGTAACACTGGAAAAGATCCACTCGATACTCGATACTGCAGCAGCCACCGTTTTCAAATTGGTTACCGTTAAAAAGCAACCAACTCTGGGATGATCGATCTTTAAAATGGTAAATAATGTTTGGAACTGCGAGTGTATCGACACATCCAGAGAAACAAAAGCTGCCCGCTGTAAGCAGCTTTCTTTTAAACTAATGACAATGTACAGTTACGAAGACGCCTTGAACAAACCAACAACTTTCTAGCTTTCCACAGATTTAAAAAATGGTATTAAATTACTCATTCACTTTGGCAATCAGACCAAATGAATGCACACTACTCCCATGATGCACTGTTATGAGAGGAGGAGGATGGATATTCAAACATAACATAGAGGTAAAGAGGTGGGTGCTTTTTATTTTTATTTAAAGGGGTGGCGAATAAGCAATCCCTTGCCTGAGCAAGCTTGATTTAAGGCAAAGGTTAAAACATCACTACTGCACAGTCTATATCTGGACAGCAAAATAATATGCTAACAGCTGTGAGGCTACATGAAGAGAGTTAGTGACTTTGTTCTGGATTCTGGTTTCACTGCCAATCGACAGTCACATGAACAGTGTGCGTCGTCGACTGTCAGAGGGGAGGAGGGGAGGTGGTAGGTTGAACTGCTTCAGTGTTAGGACTGAGATTTGCTGGTTAAATTAACAATTCACATATCTCGGGGGGGGTCAGAAAGAGTCCAATTATGTTTTTAATAATGAACAATAACATGTATGAAAATTCCTATTCGTGTAAAGCAAATGAAAACAGGAATAGAAACTGGAAAAGAATTTAAATGTGTCACAATGAGTCTGTGGGTGTCGGTGCCGCGGGCCACAAATGAGACCTGTAACAGATCGTAGTTTCCTTGATAGGGACAGTTTTCACATTCGGAGCCCTTGATGTAGTTTAACAGACACCAGCCTCTTCAAGCCAAGACGTTAAAGGGTCAGTTCACCAAGATCACAAAATAAAAATAATTTTTTTTTACCATTTATGCCTTGCGGTATCTCGCCATGCAAATGTGGGATTTATATTTTGAGATTTCTGCCCTGAGACTTCTGCTGCTAACCCAACACAATGCAGGTGAACACAATGTCACTGATGGGGTTAAAATGATTAAACTTAAGAGCAATCTCTCTCTTTCCAGAAACAATGTGCTGCTGGGATAATCCAATGCTGTCAATGTGGTCAGCTTTCACAAGTTTTCTGTTTTATGGATCATAAATGATCCAAAGTAACAAAGACACACTGCTGTTAAGTTTTAACGATTTGAGCGCCATAGACAACATTTTCATTCACCTACATTGCACTCCGGTGGCATCAGAAGGGGCTGTGGCCAGATACAGAGAAGCTGAATGGTAAATGTTTTTGTGATTTGGGTGAAATCAACCCTTTAAGATTACGGAAACCAGGCTGGGCCTCAAGGCACCGGTTCCCATTACAAGTCCCACTTAGTGAGAAAAAAAAGGGAGAAATATCCTGCATGTTACAGACTGCTGTTGCAGAAACGCACTGCCCCTGGATGGAGGTTAATATTTGAGATAAGATGCGGATCGTGTTCTGTGGGCCAGGAGAATGAGCACGTCACCACTCCCTGATTGACTGATGCCTGTGACAGTAAGTGGAGGTAGGTAGCTCAGAGCAGGAAATGGGTCCAGGTGACCTCAGAGAGGTTAGGAGCTTAACCTTGGGTGTTACCGGGATTTAATGGGACTTGAATGGGGACAGTGGGTCGCGAGC